AATCCGGCTGAGCCAACCCAATACAATGAGTTACTAATAAAAAAAGCAAAGGTAGAGGGAAACGTGGAGGAGAGCTGATAGCGAGATGAATAGGTAGAATACTGATCCACGAAAAGGAGGAATGATTACAAACAGTGAGCTTTGATAATCAGCCGGAGTTTCACAAGGGGCAAGTCTGAGGAGTACAAAGGTTCAGAGTAGCTGACAGTTCCTCACAGAAATGAAACTAAAGGTTGCTGTGCCTCAGCAGAAAAAGGATGGGAAATGTAGTAAGAAATGAACGTGGCTTTGCAATAGATCAGACAGCAAAGAAGTAGTTAAGGGCAAAATAACAACAAGAGTAGGTATGTGCAAGGAGCTGTACGCTTAAACACTGATTTTCAAGTGTAGAAAAGATCCAAGGTTAAGAAAAGAGGATATGAGATCATTCATATATATTGTCTGGAGTGTCATATATATTGTAAGGATTCCAAATTCGATATTCCTGGGAGGTCTGTAAGAACAGGTTAGACAAACATCTGTCAAGAACGACAGTGTTACAGCTGCCCTGCATTGGGAGGGTGAAGTAAGCTGGATATTTTCTCAAAGCTACCTCAGCCTTCCTAGGCCTCTTTAAAGACCTTCACATTGCTTCACATTTATTTATTTGAATGCTTGCTTTCTTAGTGGATATTTTCTGTGTGCTGTAGTCCTCCCACACATCACAGGCATCCGGTGTGCCTGTGCCAAGAGCACTGTGATGAAGGAAGGCTGGTCCCAACCTCCCCAGTGAGCTAAGGATTCCAAATTCGATGCACTTTTGCATCCCTAGTGCCATGACAACTGTCACATCCCACCCAGGAGAAGGGGCACAGGTGACTTTTAGATTTGTAATACCCCAACGGAGCAGACAACGGTGAGACAAGTCTCAAGGTCCATACACAAACATTTATTATCAAATTTCTCACAACATAGAGATCGGGCTCATGACAATGGATTCTAATTTAAAAGCACGGTAGGGCACACAATATAAGAAAAACCAGGAAAAGGCTAAATATGCAATGGACTACAACAACTTAATAATAACAAGAGATAATAAAGGACATCTAAACATAATATTACAACAGACAATATTATTCTTAACCCTGACAAGAAAGAAATTTTAGCATGAACTCAGTAAACAGTACGATAGGCCTTGCATTACTTAGCAAGAAAAGGAGGGGGGAGGAGGAGACAGACAGAGAGAGAGAGAGAGATCACCTGTTCAGGTTCCTGCATTGGTCCTGCCAAAGCAGAGTTCAGGATGCATCCATCATTGTCTTCCACTCCTCCTGCACTTTTCTTCTTCTTCTTTTCTTCTTCTCTGCCTGCACTTTTCTTCTTTTCTTCTCCTCCTCCTGCACTTTTCTTCTTCTTCTTTACTTCTCTTTCCTCCTGCACTTTTCTTCTTCTCCTCCTGCACTTTTCTTCTTTTCTTCTCCTCCTCCTGTACTATTCTTCTTCTTTTCATCTTCTTCTCCTGCACTTTTCTTCTTTTCTTCTCCTCCTCCTGCACTTCCTTTCTTCTCCTCTTCCTGCACTATTCTTCTTTTCTTCTCCACTCCTGCACTTTTCTTCTTTTTCTTTTCTTCTCCTGACTCATGCTTTACCTTGCCTCAATTTATACACAATCTTCTACATGCGGACATGCGGAATGTCAGGTAGGGGATCAAGGCACTTCATTGTTTTTGATAATCCTCATTAGCATGCCCGAATGTCCTATCTTCTTGGGAGATAGGCTACAAGATAAGGCCATTCTGCCTCCCAAGATTATCTAATCTCATCAATACTTTTTGAGAGACCTGTAGCCTTATCAGATCACCCTTCTACAACATTCCATCACTTTGCCACACAGGACCAGAAACTGGTCTTGTTTTTCACCAAGCTGGGGATTTGTAAAAATGACAAGAAATTTGTAAGGCAAAATTCACACATGTGTCTGCTACAGACAACATATGCCCTATTTTGTGATATTTATAGTTATATGATGAGGGCCATTGTGGTGTGCACACCTGACAGGTCCGAGAAGTAGGTCCTTCCATGTTTAGGAAGAGAAGCTGCTTGTCTGTGGCTTCCATAGTGCGTTGTGATCTTCCTCTTGCTTTCAGCATCCAGGTAGATGCACACGATAGCATCTCACACCATGTTCTTTCTCGTGCACTGGGTCATGTACAGGCTGCATTGCTCCACTCTGAGTACACGAGCTGCTGCCTTGACCACAGGGTGAGTGAAGATAGGACTTCTCTGCTGGATGCTGGGGACTAACTGCTGTGAGGAGTTTGCTTTGCAGCCCGATGCCAAATGCTAAGTCTAGAGAATCTGGTGCATGCAGGACTACAGAAACAATGTAGATCTCCAGAGGGATATGGATAGGCTGGATCACTGGGCCAAGGCCAACTCAATGAAATTCAATAAGGCGAAATCCTGGGTCCTGCACTTCAGCCACAATAATCCCTAGCAGCACTACAGACCGGGGAGGAGTGGCTGGAGAGCTGCCAGGCAGAGAGAGACCTGGGGGTGTTAAGAGATGGCCGGCTGAACATGAGCCAGCAGTGTGCCCAGGTGACCAAGAAGGCCAATGGCATCCTGGCCTGGATCAGGAATAGTGCAGAGAGCAGGAGTAGGGAGGTGATCATGCCCCTCTACTCAGCTTTGGTGAGGCTGCATCTCCAGTACTGTGTCCAGTTCTGGGTCCCTCACTACAGGAGGGACATTGAGGTGCTGGAGAGGGTACAGAGTTGGACTGCCAAGCTGGTAAAGGGCTTAGAACACAAGTCGTATGAGGAAAGACTGAGGGATCTGGGGCTGTTTAGCCTAGAGAAGAGGAGATTGAGGGGAGACCTCATCACTCTCTACAACTACCTGAAAAGAGGTTGTAGAGAGGCAAGAGTTGGTCTGTTCTCCCTAGTGGAGAATGATAGGACGAGGGGAAATAGATTTACATTGCGCCAGGGGAGGTTCAGGTTGGCTATCAGGAAGAATTTCTTTACTGAAAGGGTTGTCAGCCATTGGAACAGGCTGCCCAGGGAGGTGGTTGGGTCACTGTCCCTGGAAGCATTTAAGAGACGACTAGATGTTGCATTGGGGGACATAGTTTAGCCGGTTGATAGAGCTGGGACAAAGGCTGGACTCCATGACCTTGAAGGTCTCTTCCAGCTGAAACTATTCTATGATTCTATGAATGCAATTTGTGGAAAAGAAAGATCCTTAAAGAGGTAGGAACTGGTATTGGGTCTGGGAATGGAGTGAAACTGTGGGAAATTCAGGCTGTATCTGGACCCGCTTGCTGAGGTATAGCTCTCCTTTTCTTGCTGGCTTTTCTCTGCACCAAAGCAGAGATAGCAGGGTGCTGAGCACATGCCCAAGTGGGGAGGCCAGTGGTGTGTACGTGGGGTCAGGAACAGGTATGTGCTCCCAAGAACCTCAGCAAGGTTCTGCCTGAAGGCATTAAACAGCCCCTTTGTGTATGTTTGAGGATATTCTCATAATGAACCTCCTGTTCTATGAGACCTGCAGGAGTCTGAGTTAACACAGTCCAGGAGGGGTATGCAAGTAGCAAAACACCGGGAAATACAGTATTTTCTTGAACTGTCATAATCCATGCACACACCTAGAAGTTTAACTGAATTCTCAGCTTCAGGTTCACCACTGAGTGATGTCTCTTAAATATAAAGGCTGAAACATTATCAAAATCGGAGCTGAGCATGAACTGAAGATCTGGATCTGTGCTTCGAATTCCAATAACCTTCATTTTTGTGCAGAAGAAGGATTTACGTTTGATGCTTTCATTCAACTCATTCTAAAAATAGGAAGCCTTTGCAGAATTTTAATCCAAGGTTTCAGTTTGTGTTGGCCCTGAAGCACTCACATTGCAGCTCCAGATTTAAAACTTAAGCAACCTGATCGATGCGTGCGCACTGCCTCCATGTGACCAAACAAGAAACTGAAGTTTCAGTTTTCCATCAGAAGATTTCTGCCACTGGTTCCAAATAACTGTCCACAACTTGAAGAAAAAAAAGTTGCTCCTCTTTGAATCAATGTGATTCCTGTTCATGGGCAATCAAAAAGCTTGATATTTTTTGTGATTTTATTTAAACATATGTATCAAATATTAATTTTCATGGCTTTAAAATGTTTACTTCATTTTCCAATAAAATTGTTCTGTGATAAACTGCATGAGATCTAGTTGCCTAAATATAGGAATCCAATGCCATTTTAGGTGGTCTTTTGCTGCCTTGGCTGCCCTGTCCCTTCTACTTCAGACAGGTACAGATGTTTTGAAGACCTGTGACATAATTGGAGCTCCATGTAGTCCTCTCATAACTCCCTGAAAAACTCAAATTTCACTCTTTTAATTTCTTTGATTACTCCTACTGCAAATAACTTTTACAGCATGCCAGGAAATTATTTTTAAGTGAGCATTTGTAGATAAAACTTAGTTTATTTTCTAACTAATTTTTTAAGTGAAGCATTAAAAGATTTTATTTTCTTTTTCCTGTGATTCAGAATGAAAACTATTTCCTAGACCACGTGAACAAATTTGGCTCAGCATCACGCTGAACATACCAGCCCACAGCACTTCCATGCCTCCACGTTAGCCCAGGAAGCAGCTTGGTAAAGAAACCCATCAGGGCTGTTTGTGGCCAGTTTTATTTTAACAGCGCTCTGTGTGTCTTTCTCTCTTTTTCTTTCCTTTCAGAGATTGTCGGTGTAGGATGTGTCCTCAATGGAGTCAGATATAACAATGGGGAAACATTTCAGCCCAACTGCAAATACAACTGCACGTGCATCAACGGGGCTGTGGGCTGTATCCCCATGTGCACAAACTCACGCCCTCCCCTTGTCTGGTGCCCAAACCCAAAGCTGATTAAGATGGCAGGGAGGTGCTGTGAGCAGTGGATTTGTGATGACTCCAAGAAAATCAGGAAGACGTCTCCACGCCACATCTCATCTGCAGGTATGGCGAGAGCGAGAGTGGATCTCTCCTTTGTCATTGGGCAACTGAAGTCAGAGCCTACAACCAAAGTATCTGCTTGTGCTGCCAGAGCTGGCAGGTGTCTGGTCTTTGTGTGAACGAGGCACAGAGGCGCCCATACAGCATATAGTGAGGGACAGGACATGCAAACACCAGTGGTGGGCTTGAACTCCTTACCAGAGGTATGAGATTCATCAAATATGCTGTGTGACCCTTAAAAGCACACATCTGCTGACATGTCAAAGATGTCACCAGTACTTTCAAATACACCTTTTTTTCTTTGTCTTTTTCTTTTTTTTTTTAAGGCTGGGCCCTCTGGAAAACAGTATGGGCTCAGTTTAATTTGAGACTGAGCCTTTCTGTCTGGTTATATTGCTTTAGTAACAGGAGTTTAAACACCCTGTACCTTAGTAGTCCCAAACTTACATAACAACTTGAAAACATTGTGGTGGATGTTTCACTGTTGTCTAAATTGTCTTTGTGTTAGTGTAGTTTTTTAGAAATTCTGGACTGATGATAACATTACTGAACTACCTGTTTTATGTATCACACAAGGTGTCTTCTTCACTCACACATTCATAGTGAGGATCATGTAGCCCACTGCACAGAGGTGACACCATTTGCCTCCAACATGGTCCCAGATTTTTTCCCTCACACCCTGTGATGAACATAGTGACATTAGCCACAGTAGGTCCATGTTTTAGGCTATCTCACACCGAGGAGCTCAAGGAGACATAGGATCCATGTTGAAACCCAGGTTTTTGGTTTCTTGATGGTAGGAGGTTTTTTTCCCAATCCTTGGCTTGTATTTCTGTTGCACAAAACAAAGCCTTGGTCTCCATTTTGTGGTTTAAACCCACCAGATTTTAGCCCTCACTTCTGTCCCTGGTAGCTTTAAACCATGAGGTAGGTCCAAATTCAAAATACTTATTACTAAAATTGGCCTTATGTCTTCCTAGCCTGTGTCCCAACATGGGAATAAGAGATTTCCTTGCCTAACTTTTTCTCTTATAAGTAGAAGTCTTATAGAAGTGAGACTAGCATTAATTACATTTAATATAACAATAAATGTAATAGTAAGAAATCTCAATGCAGCAGAGTTTCTATCAGAGTTTTGCCAGAGTTTGGGCTGTACTGTGAGCTGAAGACCAGTGGGGACTTTGGCCGAGGCTGTGAAGGAACCTGGAGTTGTTGGCTGCTTTCAAAACAGAGCCCACCCTTTCTTCAAGCAGCTTCCAAACTCCCTGAGAGCTATTCAAGCTGCTCTTCCTCCCAGTGAAAGGCTGTGGCTGCTTCCCAAGCCCCTTGGCCACCCAGCAAAGACTGTCGACCACTTTCTGCTGCAGGGAATCAATTGAATGGGCTCAGAAATAAACCTTCATAGTGAGATCAGATTCATCCCTTTTCTACACTGGCTGGTGCAGGCTTCTGTAATTAAGTGCTTGCATTGTGGCAGCACCTGGGCATCCCAGACAAGGACCCTCTTGTGTGAGCCTGCTAAGGGAAATAAAGAAGCGAGCCCTGTCCCCGAGCAGTCACAGCACAGGAGGGTCTGACTCAAGTAGGTCAGCAGCAAAGGGGGGTGGGATGAGGAGGTTCACAAGAATGCTGAGCCCCTTCGCTGTGATTTAATTATCTGGGTTAGTGGCCTGAATGTGTAATGCGCTGGAGAGAGGGTGTTTAATATGGAAAGCTGCCCCAGCTGAATACTGTGGGGTTAATCTGCTCTCTGTAGCGTACGAAGGAGAGGATGAAGCCTGGCAGAAGAACTGCATCGTTCACACCTCACCTTGGAGTCCCTGCTCAAAGACCTGTGGGCTGGGCATCTCCACCAGGATTTCCAATGACAACAACCAGTGCCGGCTCCTGAAGGAAAGCCGTCTGTGCAACATGCGGCCCTGCGAGGTGGATATAACCAAACACATTAAGGTGGGGAATGTTTCTTCATGTGCCTCTTGAGCTTTGCCTGGACACGGGGACAGCCTTTGTTTGGCAGCTTTCAGGCTTCTGATGGCTGCACTTCTAAATGGACTTACTATGCTGCAAAGAGGTAAAAAAAAAAAGAAAGTGCCCTCTCTGTTCTTCCACACGCTGGTATGAAAAATTTCGCCTGAAAGCTTTACTTCCAGCCAAAGGGTCCTTACAAGGAAAGAAAAGCCAAGTTCACTGTGCTCACTGCTGGTTCAGACCCAGCTAGTGCGAAAGCGATGGTGCACTGCTGGTCATGTATTCTGCAAGTATCCTACTTGCAGCTTTTGCGTTCATATGTCTAAACACAGTAATCATAGAATCATAGAATGTGGTAGGTTGGAAGGGACCTTAGAGATCATCTAATTCAACCTTAACTAGACCAGGTTGCTCAAGGCCTCATCCAACCTGGCCTTGAGCATCTCCAGGGAAGGGGCATCCACAACTTCTCTGGGAAATTTATTCCAGAGTCTTGCCACCTTCCTACTGGAGGATTTCTTCCTAAGAAGAAACCTATTCTCCTTCAATTTAAATCCCTTTCCCCTTGTCCCAGTGCTGGACTCTCTCGTAAAAATCCCCTCTCCAGCCTTCCTGTAGGTTCCCCTCAGGTACTGGAAGGCAGTTATAAGGTCCCCCTGGAGTCTTCTCTTCTCCAGACTGAACAATCCCAGCTCCCTCAGCCTGTCCTCAGAACAGAGTTGCTCCAGCTCCTGGACCATCTTTGTGACCCTCTTCTGAACTTGTTCCAACAGATCCATATCCCTCTTGTGGTGGGGACACCAGAATTGTATTCGAGGTGGGGTTTCACAAGAGCAGAGTAAAGGGGGAGAATCACCTCTCTTGCCCTGCTGGCCACACTCCTCGTAATGGATCCGTCACACCCTTTAATAAGGGCTGCAAAATGCTTGCTAACAGCTTCAGAACCCTTTAAATATTGGGAAGGTGGTTTGTATGTTCTGCTTGTGCTAGCAATTAATACTAACCTTTCTCTTTTCCTGTTCTTCTCTAATTTAGCCTGGGAAGAAGTGCTTGGCTGTCTACAGGGCGAATGAACCAATGAACTACACCATCTCAGGGTGTGTAAGCAAAAGTTCATATAGACCCAAATACTGTGGTGTCTGCACAGACAACAGGTGCTGCACACCCTACAAGTCTAAGACTATTGAAGTGAGGTTTCAGTGTCCAGATGGAACTGAGTTTTCCTGGAAAATCATGTGGATCAATGCTTGTTTTTGCAACCTGAACTGCAAGAACCCCAATGACATCTTTGCCGACTTGGCTCATTACCACGATTACTCTGAAATCGCTAATTAAATTGGCTGAATGCTAGAATTGACCCATTGCTCTGATTTTACAGAGGTTTTAAAATAAAAGGAGAATCTTCATTTGCTGCCAGTGTACAAGTTGTTTTTTTCCTGAGTTAGTGTGTTAAATCTCTTTGTTTTGACACGCTGTTTTTGGAGAGGCCTTGAACAAGCAGGATCTTCAACTCTAATGGACTTCCATCCATTAACAGCAGCCAGAAACTCCTCTATATACAGATTCCAGGACTTAAATGACAGTCCTGTTGGCACTTCCATTTATTAGGCCAGCAGTTTAATTGCCCAAAGGAATGAACAGTACACTAGTATGACAACAAAAGTATGGCTGTCAGTAGCTTAGACATGAATTGTTACTGTCACTTCTTGAATAATATGGTCTAATCTGAAAAATGGGCATTGGCATGGGTGGTTTATTTTCAACAATAGATTTCAGCGTGTGGTGCTCCTGTCCCTCAGGACCAGACTCTAGTCTCTCTCACATTGAGATCAGTCCTAGAACTTCTCCTCTGTCATTCTCAGCCAGGTTCTACCTCATGGGAAAAGCCTAGGGAGGTTTCTCCTGAATTCTCTGTGCAATGGGGCTCTCTCTCTCACTTCACTAGGCTGGGTCAAAGAACCTCTGTGTACTACCGTCTTGGCCTCACCTTGACCTCCCTTTGGTGTTACCAGCACAATTGTCCTGCTTACCACTGCCGCCTTGCCAAGGCTGATGGAAAGGAAAGGAGATGTGAGAAAACAGGTATTTGGCTTCCCATCAGCTCTGTGGATGAGTGGATGCGAAAGAAGAGGACAACGCTTGGCACATCTCCCAGTGCATTAATTGCAACTGGGCTGCTCTTTAGAGTAAACATCAATATAAACATTTTATGCACAAGTGGTTTCACATGCAAATATCAGCTAAGAGAAGCAAAAATCTGTCATTACTTTTCCGGGCAATAAATTTATCATCACTGAAGGATGATGGAGACAGGTTTTTCTTCAATAAGTTGTTAGTTCAGCACCCATGCCCCATGGTGTGTTCACTGTTACTTCACTTGGGAGAGTAGAGACATATTTCTTCATGGACAGCTGTAGTATCTGCTTCCAAAATTCCTGGCGCCGCGGCAGAACTGCTGAGTGACACATGGCCTGGAGATTAGACCAGTACAGGGCTGAACTTCAGATGATGCAAGTGTTTTAAATCAGTCACTTATATTGTTTTAGTTTCATTTGACAAGTTGTCTGTCTTCATCTTGGTAACTCAGAGGAAGCTAGATTAGTTCCCAGGAGATATAAATCTTTCTGGCTAAGATAAACTAAAGCTTCTTGTGAGCAGGCTGAAAATAATGCAATCCCTATGTAAAAACATCTAGGAAAAATGCTGTATATCTTCAAAAGCTGTTAACTTCAATAGCATCCTCGTTTGTATACAAATAATTTTTTTTTGGCCCATAAAGTTCTTGTTGAGCTAGGTCATTCCTTAATTCAAAGCTTTAACTATTTCTATGTTGATGTTTCCATGAAATCCCCAGTGGCATAAAAGAAGGGTGAACCCTCTCTGCATGTTCCAGTGCACATGCAAAACACCTCTCCTGCTTGTTCCTCTGGTGACGAGAAACTTGTAGACACCAACATATTGCAAGATTCAGCGTCGTGACTGCCTTTGGCCTGGATGATGTGACAGGAGAGGTCACACCTGACCTGTTCACCCCCACCAAAACAAGCGCTCAGCGCTCACAAGACTGAGTGTATTACATTTTTAACTCCATCACTTGGTCAAAACAGGTCCATGGGAACTTATAGAAAAAGGCCTTGGAAACGAAGTTTTCCAAAAGGGAAAGTGGCTTGTATTGAGAAGCTTGGTAGAGAAGCCATCTTTCTCAATCAAATTCCTTAATATGGCTTGGAATCCTGTGTTCTAGTTCTTGTCCATCTTAAAATACCATCTAGATGTGTGTATGTGTATAACATATGTGTGCATATAAATATATACATATGTATATATGCATACATACATATGTGTATGCATGTAAAATTTTATATGCATGTCTTGCTGTAATGTTGTATATAATACTATATATAAAAACTTAAATGTACATGTACATGTGTATCTTTACAGGTACATATTCCTATGGTGCAGTCTATGGTGCATAAAATGGTGTGCATATATAATATCCATTTATATGTATAATCAGTCTTTCTCTGTCTTACATATACACATAATCAAACAAGAAAGCAGGATGAGAAGACGTTCCCCAAACTGTTGCACTCCACAGGCTTGCTTTGATTTGCAATTAACTGATGCTGTAACCTCCATCATCAAACGCTGCAGTGGCTGAAACACACAGCTTTCACTGCCAGATAAAAGAAGCCATTGTAAGCTAATGCATGACGAGCAGCTCCAGTGTGTGTCTGTTTTTAGTGAAGTGAATGCCTGGAAACCACAGATCTCGCCCAATGCACCCAAGATGTTTCTGTTTCTAGCCCGGTTTCCTAAGGGAACGAGGCATCTGCAACCGTACTGTCCACTTGTCTATCAATCAGTCCCTTTGGGGAAATGTCAAACAAAGCAAGCAGAAAAGTAAACATCTCAAAAGCATCACAATGCCTGAAATAACAAATGAAATATAAAGTAGCAGGACAGGGAAGATGCCCGCTTTGCCCCTATCAAGCCCACACACAGCCAACATGTCCAGCACACCTGCAGCCCTAAGGGATTTTGAATGGATGCATCAGCTGGTAGCAAGCAGCCACAGAAGAAGGGGAGCTGAAGGCATCACAGACGGGGAGCAGTGTTTTTTACACTGCTGTAAAGGAGTTTTACGGGTACACGGGATATAAGCCTGTAGGAAACCAAGACTTAATTAGCTCCACTGCTTGTGCATCTGCTTATCCATCTCATGACACTGAAAGGGGAAGAGCAACACATCACCAGTGAACTTGATTTGCAGTTTGTGGTGCATTAGAGATCATATTTTAACAGATGTTTACAAGGAGATTATCCCCAGGACCATGACAATAGACCAGCCTTTAGTTTCAGTTCCCTGGCTCCTTGTGTGCCTGGAAAAATCATATATATTTACAAAAGTGCTTTTGTGGTTACTGTTTAAATACATTGCGGATCTAGATCCTCAAAGGCTTTCATGGATTAATTTCTTTGCTTTCCCTCCATTCTCCAGAGCCAGAAGAACAAGGCCCTACTGTTCATTGCATCTGTTGAAAATGAAAACTCCTCCAGCAGGAACTGGTGCTCACTGTACATTTGTATAGTGATTTGTACAATGGTTCTAGGTCTCTGCTGGGACCTCAAAGCAGTTCCATCATCCAAGAAAGCAACAATAATAGCATTGAGGAGGTACCAGCATATGAGCTGGTGCTAGACCCAGCTGATGCATCGGTTCAGGGAAAGGCTTGAGAAAGGATGGGAGTGACAATTTTGCAATCCAGACTAAGCTGAGACAGTTTCACACGTGTCCTCCTCATGACAATCATCCTGTTGCCCTTAGAGGCTGGGACAAGGATGCAGGCTGGGACTTTGAGGGTCAGCTCGTGCTGATACAAATGGTGAGGCTCCAGCTAGCTCCAGTGACCATAGTCATTAGCCTTCTATAGGGACTTTACCAGAGCCAGTACCATGGCCTGAATTGCCTTGTTTGGGAGCCCCAGAAAGCAGGTTAACTCACTGAAGAAGCAAGCAAGCATGTAACTTACAAAGATGTCTTTGCATGGAGCTTTGACCAGAATTAAAACCATTTTGTTGTGCATACAGCTGGAAACAGGGTGTAGTGCAGTTTTGATGTGCTCACCAGGATTGTGCTGTGTATATGTAATACTCCAGGAAGACCACAATATTCAGAAACACTGTGTTATTTTGTAAATTAAGCCCTGAGATTTTGTCTCTTGTTTTTTTGAAGGAGTTAAGACAAGCAGTTTATTAAATTAATGGAGACAGAGTGCTCCCCATTAACTACAGGCACATATCCATGCATATATCTTTTCAGACTGTGACTTTCCAGTTTAAACAGTTCTACAGAGTTATTTCTGTAAGCTTCATGTGGTGAAATATATAAAATATCAGCAGGAATTGGAAGTGTCGGTTACCCCAGCTACATGACATGTATTACTTATTTGTACAGCATCATGGTGAGGTTTTATATGTGGCATGCTGCTGCTATGGTTTAAAGATACTAAATAAAATCATACATGGTAAATGATTAATGAATCTATGGCTGACACCTCATTTAGAAGCTTAGGTAAGCAAAAGATGGTGAAATATGCTTTCCACTGATACTCCTTTTCCTTTTCCAATCTCGTCATCTGGTCAATGTCCAAGTGTGTGTTTGCAACCTGTGACAAAGCCCTGAACTGGAAGACACGTAAGAAAAATAAACAGACAATAATGTGGTATAAAAGGATGCTCTGAGAGAACTTCAGTGGGAATATTTTGGCAGCTTGGGAAACTCAGGCGTTCCCTAACTCACATGTCCTTGTTTGCTGGTCTGTTTATGGCTCTACATTTTTTGTTTGTTGTCTTCCCCCGACACACACTACTCTTACTGGATTTGAGATGCCCTGTCTTTTAGTAAAGCAGAGTGTGTTACTCAACCTGCATCAGCATGTCTTCTTTATCAGCTCTTCTGAGAGGGCGCAGCAGTAACCTGTTTGCAGCAGCTGTACAGACAGAAATTGTTCGAACAGGTTTATTAAAGACATGAAGAAAAGCATTTAAATTAAAGAAACATTATTACATATCCCCGTGTTTATGTATCCTCAGAGCTAACCCCAGTAAGGATTCTATCATTGAATTCTAGAAAAAAATACTTGTAGAGTTTTCCCACAAATCAAGTTTCCCTTCCAGCATGAAGTAGCTTATCTGTTTTGGTAGGAATGTAAACCCTTTGAGTGGCCTCCTGTCCTGCACAGTGACAGGTCTGTGTTGGGGTTGGCTTATGGCTACTGGGACGTTGAGCAAAAAACCACCCTTTCCCCAGCCTTCTCCTTCAGCATGCTTTTTATTGCTGGGAAGGGAAGTCCTCTGTATTTTTAAGCACTATGCAGCTACCTGTGCCTCTGGTGATAGCTTTTAGCAGAGGTAGCACATTTCCCTGATGCCTTTACAGGCACCAGAAGTCTCATCTTGCCTCTGTGTCTTCTGCTTGACACATGTGGCAGCTGCCAAGCACTTGATCTTGCATGAAGGGCTTCCTGGCTGCTTTCTCGGGCACGGCACGTGGGGCTAGCCTGGGAAACTAACAATCTTTTAAGGACTTTGTACTTTCCAAATGAAGTGCTGACCCTATGCTAGGCTCTGCTTCTGTGGGATCTCCCCTGCCCAAGCCTGGATGAGTGGCAGGGAGGGAATCACCACACGATTAAAGTTTAACATTGGCAGCTGGTGCTAAAGAACAAAGATTTTTTTTTTTAATTTGGTCACCGGTTATTATTAAAAATAAATGACAACACATTGCAGTCAGTCAATAAATGATAATTTTCCATCTGGAGAGACACAAGTGTAGGCCTGAGGTAAGGCAAGGGGGTCTGACTGCATTCATCTTACTGGTGGGTGAGGGACGGAAAGGGATCTTTGCTGGGGGCGGCTTGCCAGGCTCTACAAGCAGGCTATCCTTACTGATACCAAGTCTGCCACTTCCACAGACCTGTCTTCCCTTCCACAGAGGCTGCTGAGCTTCACAGGAACTCATGCACCCACACCTGAACAGAGCCAAGAGCTGTAAGGCACAGGCTGGTGAGGGTTCTTGCTGTTTTTCCAGTGCCGTTGCCCATGTAGGCTTTGCCTGGAGCTGCCCTAGCCCTCCCTGAGTGCGACTGCCCAGTAAACTAACCCCTCCCTCCCCCAGCCCCCTCTGTGTACTGACCTTGACCTGAATACCATAATCCACTTCAGCCATAAGCAATTGCAGAGAGTGGCGGGTCACCCAAGGATATTTTTCTCAGCTCTGCTGCAGGTCACGGCTCACTGTGGTGATGTTGCATGGGAAGGAAGCGTTGCCTGCTGTCCCCTTTCCCAGACCTAGAGCTCTGCTGGAGATGACCAGTGGTATCTGCACCCAGTATCTGATGCACATCCTGCAGCCACCAGTGCCAAAAATATGCAGGGTATACAGGGGCTGCTTCTTTAATTATGTACAAATAACAACTCTCCATCAGCGCCGAGGAGGTGCTGGGTGAGCAAACGATCCCTACCCTGAGTCAAAGGGAACAGACATTGAACTGTTTGGCAGTTGCAATCAGAAGCTTTTTTTTTTAGTTTTTTCTCCCCCCCTTCCAACACTGGTCAGCAGCTGTGTTGTTTATAAAATGAATGGAGCCCTTAATGAAGTAACAGATAGAAACAGTAAGAGGCTGTGTCTGTCCCTTACAAAGGGCTGAGGGGGAAGGGTTGATCTCTTAAAATACCCTGACATCCTTTCTTGCAGTTGTTTAAACATTAGGCAGAGCAGCAATCACCCATCGACATCAAGCCTGTATTTGGCTCAGTGGAAACACCAAATCCTCACATCCAAACAGCTGTTCATATATAGAGACTGGGAGAGACATCCGGTCCCAGTGGATGTGAAATAGTGCAAAATAGTGCAAAAAAGCCAAATAGCAAGTGGGAAAGGGTGAGACACTGTGCAATGTGTTGTGTTGGTGGAAACAACAACCTACGTTAACATCATGTTGAGGATTCCAACAAACACTCTGCTCAAGACACAAAAACAGGCAGGAAGAGGATTCCAGCACTGGAGAGAAAAAATAAGCAGCTTTGCTATAAACTATTTTCTCTCTAGCTCAGTCCATCCCTTCCAACACACAACATTAATCATAACCCCCCCAAACACATCTAGGTTAAAGTTTCCAGCTGTTTAGTCTCTAGAGACTTTTAAAGAGGAAAGCAGCATCCTTCAGCACAAAAGTCCTGCAGCTATGACACAGTATTGGCACACCCTCTCCCACTCCTCCTCTGCAAGGACAGGGTGGGGGAAATCCATCCTGGGGATTTGCCAGATTTTAGTACAGTAGATATCGAGGCCCAGGCAGAAGTGGAAAGAGCTCACGTTTCAGCAATGACATCCTTTCTACTCCTGATTTTGAAGAGCACCACTACAGCAGAGATTTGGTATTGAGATTCATTAATGCAATCAGGAAGCCTCTTGTTCTCTTGTAGCTCATTCTCTGCTCTTCCAACCATTATAACCCCAAAAGCACTGTGAGGGGTGAACTGCCTATTTTCCAGAAACCTCCTGTTAACCAGTCTGAATGTCCTTTCTCCCAAAGGAGCTCATTGCATCACAGTGGCCATTCATACTTTATGAAAAAAATAAACGCCCGTCTCAACTCTTTGGTTTAATGACACTACAGTATCCAGACTAATTCTGTCTCCAAGAGTAATGCAGAACTCAGCATTTGCAAACCCTAGAAAGGGGTTTCATAAAAATTTCTAATATATCTGCAAGCTACTCGATTCTCTTCAGTTACAGCACAAGTTAGAGATGCCAGCAGAAGAGTACTGCAGGGAAAAAAAGGAATCCTAACTCCTTGTAAAAGGTAAAACACCACTCCTCTGTATTGTTCTCCAAGCTTTTCTCTACAGGTACAGACTGTTCCTTACCAAATAAATACTTTTTGTTGCAAAGCTGACATTTAGAGCAGTCCTAGCAACTCCTTGCTGCTGAGAAGTTCTTGCAGATTCCTTTGTGCTGCAAGGAGGCTTGGATGCATTCCTGACAAAAATAAACTGCCTAGGCTTGACAGGCACACTATGGTGTCCTTGTGGAAGGAATGATTAGCCATTCCCAGAAAAGCTCAAAGAACACAACTCTGCCCTTCTTTTGTAAGATGAATTGGGACAGGTTCCTCCCATTTTCACTGGCACAGGCAGTGGTTAACCAAATCAAGCCCTTGGCTGCTATCAGGCCAATCATGACTGCTGAATCATCACATCTAGCAGAGCCTTGGCTCAGGCATGCCAAATATTTGCTTTTTGCTTCTTCGCATGGCAGGATTTTGAGATGCAAGAGGAATGAGCAGCCTGAAATAGTTCCAGCAGAACCACAAAGGCACCTACTCCCCAAACCCCCAGCACCTTAAATATGTCACTAGGTAAAAGCACGACATCCTCACTGAGGTCCAAACACAAGCAAATAGAAGCTTACAGTGAAAAAGGAAAACTATTTCTGCTTTAGGGACAGTAATAAAACAGTGTTTCTTTCCTGCACTTTTATAAAAGAATATAAAACTAGAGGAATAGAGTCCTTTATTTGTTAAGGGTTAATCTTTCCTCTACTTTCCTGGAGTCAGATTTTTTGCAAGAGATCCAAAAAGAACAGCTTTTAGATACTCAAAGATTAGATACTCGAAAGTGGCACCTGCAATTTTAGTCAAAAGGACCAAATACTTCCAGAGACTGGTGAGGAACATGACACACATCAGCAGATTTACAGATCAGACTGGGCACAGAAAGGATGCCATGAGCAGAACACCAGCTCCAGCAAGGAAGTCTGAGTACACACCCCAAGATCTATGTGTTAGCAGTGCTCTATCTAGAGAGACTAAGAATTAACTTCAAGGAGCAAATAAAAAGTACTCCATATCAAGTCTCATTATATTTGTTAGAGCACAATTATCATAGAATGGCCTATCCTTTAGTACTTTGGATAGCCACTAACACTTAATACTGAAGTGTGCTGTGTTTTCTTAGTATAAACAGTAGGCTGGAGAGAGGGAAAAAAAAAAAAAAAGAGCTCAAGCAGAAAAGAAGGGAAGGGCTGAGATATGAGCAAAAGGAAAAAACCAAAAAATATTTAATTGATACAAAGGGGTGACAAGAAAATACTCTGACCAAGAAAGACTATTATACTCCCGGTAAAATATTACAACACCAGACATTGCAAAGTTACAAATTTATTTGTTTTGAAATAAATACAAATACTTCATTAAGAAACTTTTCTTGATAGACTTTACACAATAGCTTTATTCTTTCTGGAAATTGTCTGTTCTTCCCACAAACCATTATGGATATTCTACACAAGAGCTGCAGTTAGTCAATATAAAGTAACCTAGATTGTGTTCTTCTGAACGTGCAATCTCAAGGTATTAACATTTGCTATTTAACTGCTCAGCATTTGAGTTCTTGTTTGTGTGAGGACTGCAATGCAGCGGGTATGCACCAGAGCTCAGGAAATCCTGTCCCACTACCTATGGAAGGACAAACTTAAGAACACTCAACTGTGAAAATCTGACTGGCAGAAAGGTATCAATCCACTAGCATCAAAGAATGTAACCCAAGGTACCCAGAGGGTATATAAAGACGCAGAACCAGCAGGTCATTGTATTTATGCAGTCATTAAACACTATATTTGACAGATACAGTGCTGCTGCTCCACCGCTTTGTGGAATACACTTCTCAGCACCAGTGCGATCTCATCAGAGTTTCAAATCTAGTAATTAGTGGCAGTTGAATGTACAGTATCTAATTACATGCCATCCTACAGTTATTCATCTCTCCTGACAAAGAACAGCTGGATCTTGCTTTGCTTACAGAATTCCGAATTTATCCCAATTGTGCTGGACACAAAACCTTGAGCTGCAAAGATAAGAAGCTGCCTGAAGGAAAAATCAAGCTGTTTCTGCTTTGCTGGCATGTATGGCTACCCTACTTGTTACAACTACACCAACCTCTGCAGTATGGTAAATGCTTTGGCCCAAGATCCCAAACAAGAAATGCTACTTTGCTCTTTAAATTTAAATCCTGTCCTCAGCTGGCTAAGCGGGTTTTAGGGTCTAGGAGGGGGGGAAGGAAAGACTGGAACTAAATCTCAAAAAAGTGAAATAAAAAAAGCTTAAAGATTTAGTTCGTCTCAAAGTCACATTAAAATTGTCTATTTTAGTAATATATTATTGTACATAGGAAAACAGGCTTGAATACTAATGAATTAGAAGGCCTATAAATGCACGATACATTAACTTCTCTATCATTTGAAGTCGAGCTATATACAATGAATTCAACTCCAGCTTCAACATGAGGCCATAACACATTTGTTTCATTTCCTTTTTTTAAAAGCCATCCATAATAGTGATTTTTTTTTCTCCCCCTCTTTGAAACTCAGCTCAAGTTGTGCCAGTTTATTTCAAGAGAATAAGAGATAAAGGGGCATGTAACTGCTTTGATTTTAAAGGAGCATATTAAGCAAGTCTGGTTTGACTCAGAAGTGTTTACAACCATATCAGCTTTTGGCAAGTATCCTTTAGAATTTGGCATCCACTGAAGGAGGACACAATAGCAGCAACTGTCTGAGTTACAAGAATAACTATAGAGCAAATGAGATGCTTCTTTTCTTTGGTCCCTGTCAGACCCTGGTGAACAGAGTTCATTCTACAGAATAGCTTGAGATTAATATCAGTTATTTTTTTGTGATACAGGGGGCATCCATTACTTTTGCACACCGTGACCAGTTTAAACCTCCCATAGCCACCTAACAGGACACTTCCATGGACTTGGGGCTTGATTGTTCAGCGTTGCTCGCCGAGTTCGGTGTCAGCTCGATGCGTGTGTCTGTGTGCGAGCGGTTCCTGGCACCGTCCCCAGTGTGGGATCGGCTCCTTGTTCCCTCTCCAGTGTGAGATCGGCTCCTCGTGCCTTCTCCGGTGTGAGACCGGCTCCTCTGTCCTTCCAAAGAGGTTACACTGGAGCCAGAAGCTGTGCGGGACCTCATCAGCCTGGTCATGCTAGCAGAGGGGACTGGAAGGAGAGTCTTTCATTAATGCCTTGCTTCATGGCTTGGAAGGAAGCTCTAGCCTTCCTCTCCTGCCTTAACCAGCCTTGGAGAAGCCTTCCAGGTTGAATATATACTTTTTATGGTAGTTGATGTTAGAAGTACCACTGCTCCAGGCATCCAGTTATGGACCTTAAAGTACTAAGGCAAAGTTGGTGGCCAGGACCGAGGGAACCAAGACAGAGCTTTATGGCACGTTGCTGCGGCTGCAACAAGCCAGAAGAAAACTAAAAGAGTCTCATCAGACCTCCCATTACTTTGTGATGTTTAACCTTTGCTGGCAGTTCAGGCTGGCAATGCATCTACACAGCAGCAGCTGTGTCAGAAGCAGAGACACAAAGGACAAACAGCCACAAATCAAAGATGTCTCTGAAGTAGCGAGGTTTTAAATCATAGATACCTTCTGATATAGAATCATAGAATGGCCTAGGCTGGAAGGGACCTTAGAGATCATCTAGTCCAACCTCCCTGTTATGGCAAGGGATGCCACATCTCGACTAGACCTGGCAACACATGGGGACCGAGCGGGAATGTTGTGTGCAGTACCTGAATCATATCCTGTGATGCAACAATGGGAAATTACTATTAAAAACACCCACCTTGAAAGTTTCAAGATAAAGTAAAACAGGTGTTTGTGGGTATAAGCTGTCTACAAAGCTCTTTAGTACTTAGTAACTTAATTTGATCTGAAAACAACAACAACAAAAAAAGGTTGTGGTGGGTTTTTTTCCCCTTGCAAATGCATATCAAACAGGGAAAAGATCACACATTTGGGATCAGAAGCCTCTCTGGTGCCTGGATGCCCAACAAATTTCAGTAGCCAGGTGCACTATTCCATAAAACCAATACTTACTGTATCCCATTCCTTGAACAAAGTATTTGAAAGCTTCTGCAAGCTTAGCAGGCTGAAAAAGAAAGATAATATTATTATATGCAAGTTATAGCAGCAAGGCAGTTACATTACAATGTTCAAATGCCACAGATGCCCTGTCTTAACATGGACATCTCAAATATTCTCTGGGCTCGACTGAAGGTCTGAAAACTTCATTTACGTGACAGAAATCCACCATCCCCTTTCCCTAGTGTCCTCCCCTTCCCCATTATTTGACTAGAAACATGAGTTTTCCAGAGAAGTGACTAAAAGTGGTGTAAGTCTGGCTCAAATTCTGCTCATGAAGTTACTAAGGCAGGTGAGCCAAAGTAAAACAGCCAGTCTCACAAAACATACAAGGCAGTTCATACACAGTCAGTAACTGAGCAATTCCTAATCACCAGAGAACAAATTCAGCTTGTCAGCTGTGTTTACGGGGGGGGGGCAAAGTTTTCAGTAGGAATATGGAAGCACAACTGCCTATGACACATTCTTGCAAGGAGGCAGTCACTATTTTTCTCTGCTGCTGACACAGCAGCCAAATAAGACTCACAATCTCAATTATTGCACATGTCAATCTCGCCTATATTCAATTTAAACAGGTGCCAAAAACGCACTCTGTGTAACAGAAGCAATGCGCATACAATGTGGCTTTAAAAAAAAGCTTTTTCCTCCCCTCCCTCAGGCAAAGCACACACTGCCTGTACAGGTATTTCTCATCTGCTGATAATTACAAATCCAGTTCTTTCCTTAAATTTGCAACCACCACATTATATTACCTAGAAATCTGTTTAGATGTTAGATCACATCCTAAAGCTGATTTACAAGTCAGCTCTTTTAGTGCTGCAACACCAGAGTATAGGTAAATTTTGACTTTCCCAGACTGGAATTTATGTCTAAACATATTTCAGAAACTCCAGTTCATTCTCAGTCAAGCCAAGTAAGAATATGCAAGAACATAGCTTGTTATTTCCTGCCTCCCACTTTCCTGATCTATACTATAAATAGTTCAAATAATAGTAAGTTTTTAAAACACTAGTCTTCAAGGCTTAATCTGTGTTATCTTAGTAGATAGGCATAAAATAATACTCTGCATTCCCAATTCAGACTTTTAGTTGTTTAAGGCTTAATTAGTGGAAATAATATCCCCTCCCAAACCTAATTTTGTGCTTCATTGGCCTTTAAAGAAAAAAGAAAGCTCAGATGACCGACTGACATCATTATTCATGAAATCACAACCATCCTTTTGGCTGACATTTGGGAACAGCAAGTACCCTACAGGAAAACACCCATTTGTTGCAGTCTGACACACAGCAGAACAGGATTAGTAGGTTTTCTGTCAGCCAAATCCTACCTGGGAAACTTGAGGGAGCCCACCACAGTCAGCCATCTGAAATGGGGATGAAAACAGCCAGTTAGAGCAATGCCAGAGGAACATATTTCTGCTCAGGATATATTAAAATGACCTTTTTAGTTATCTGGCAGAGAAACATTTCCTTTTATTGTGTGAGTAAAATATGTGTAGCTGAACACATCAAAAGTAAGCAGTCAAACATCTATAAAAGCTATGACTGCACCTCAGTAAACCTCAGTGTCTTAACCTTCAGGTAAAGTACCAGCTGGAACTACAAATAAATGTTTTTTTCTAGGCAGTGATTACCAGTTTCTTAGAAACCAACCCACCAGTCCTGGTTAGAAGTTCAGCTCTGAATTACAGTAATGTGACACTGTATTGACCTGAATGACAAACAGGGGAGAGAGAAGAAACACTGAAACCTCAGAGGTGAGAGGGAAAAGTGATTTGCTGAGATTGTGGATGGCAAGCGTCAGCCTGACTTGCCAAGGGAAGCAGGGAAAGCCAAATTAGAAAAAGCTATCTTGAGTACATGCAATATTTTTGGAGCATTTCATTTTTCCTGCCACTCCACCCCTCAAAGTCAACCCAACAAAAACAGTCCTGTTCCAAGGAACACCACAAGCTGAAAACAGTCGAGTTGTCAATTACAGGAAACCCCAAATTCTATCTAGGATTAGTTAACAGCAAAACAGGCCTGTATAGCAGGATCTGGCATCAGCTGTATCCCTGGACTGAGCAAAGGTTGGCCACTGATGGAGGATCTGAGATAGTGACAGATTTTTTTGGGCCCGTCTGCCATGCCAACATGGTAGGTCAGCAGTGTAAAAACCAAAATAAATCATTGTGTATTGTAATTTTTACTGACCAGTTGAATAAAGAGAAATGCAGTGAAAGCCCCAAGCAAAATCAAGACCAAACTTGTTTTGCCATTTGCATGCTACTACACACATTCCATTTTACTTGATCGGTAACAAGCTGAAGATTGCACCCACACTCTGAATGCCAAGTGTCAGCCAAAGCCTCTGTACGGTATTTTGCTGTTTGGAAGTGCATTTTATCAACTTTTGGAAAACAAAAGAGTCACTTCCAACAGTAAAATGTCCTGGACCATGCTCTCATACAAGGCAAAACTGTGGTTGGTATATCAGCTGTCCATTCATCCAGCACTGCTGTTGAGGGATCGGCAAGCACAGGAACAGGACGAGTTGATTTGTAGTTCCACTCTCATGATGGCTTTTTTCAAACTTTTAAATACCTCGAGATCAGCTTTGCCAGCTCTACTCAAATTCATTATGGGTGTGTGAAATACTGAGCATTTCAAGTCTCACTCCTAGTGTTTTAAAATGAAGGAGCTGAGAAATTCCCTGTTGTTAATCTTGACAAGAAGCCACTAGTCTCATTTATCCCACTAACACATTCTTACCCTGAAGGAAGTGCCTTTCCACATCAGAACTGGATTTGCACTGTTATCTGTACTGCAGCACATCACTTTGTTTTTTTAGTTAATACAGCTGATTTTATAAATGAGAGGAATGTTTGATTTCAAAAGAACAACAACAAAAAAAACCAACAGCTTTTGTTATTACCTTCAGAAGTGTGGTCCTTGTTGGGTCAAGCTTTGAGTTGCATTCAACCTGTATTAAAGAACAGCAGTGTAAGGCACTATACACAGGAGTTTAACTGTGAACTGCTGGATGAAAACAGATTAAATCACTTGTTTTGTGTCTTCATACAGACTAAACTGAGTATCTCAGGCTTTTGTATAAAGACTCTATGTATACATATATACATCTTTAAACCCGAGTAGGTGAGTTCACATGTCTGACCGTATTTTTTTCCATGTACAAACAAATCCATCATCTGGGAATGGAAGATATTTATTTTGTGTGTGTGTTTCTGGGACTCCATTGGCAACAAGTGTTGTTTATCTTGTGATGTGGGGTAATCTGGTAGAGTCCCAAGTGGTGAGCAGCCATATGGCCCCAGGCCAGCAGACTGGGCATGCCCATTAAGGCACAACATTTGAAGTCATCCAGTCATCTGGGGCAAGTTATATTGGTCAAAAAGAAGCTCTTTGCTTCCACAGTGACCCAGGGCACAGCTCCAACATCACAGAGCAAGTTAAAATACCAGCAGCAGATTCCTCTCTAAAGGAAAATATTTGCGGTTCACTGGAACTGCTGTGGCAATTGTTCCTAACGCGGCAGCTATTAAAGAATGGCACACAGACAGAGGGGACAGACAGCAAGGAATTAATGGCAGCTCTCCCGCGGTCTGGAAGAGGAGAGTCAGCAGGGCTGGACAGACAACCAGCAAGGCTCCCTGGCTCTCCTGCCCGAGACATGTCCATATACCCACCACAGCATCCACCGCCGGGGAGCTGTCGCCAACCACCAGGAGGACAGGGCATCTAGAAGGAAACACATAGAAGAGGTGTTATCTCTGATCTGGCACAGTCTTCGTCTAAGCTGCATTTTGTCTCTGGAATGATGAGACAGCTAAGTGTGTGAACGTTACTCTGTTTGTATTCCAGACACTTTAAACACATCAAATTTGCTGCAAAGCTGCACATCTACTGACATGCTCCAATACCTTTCCTGACCACTTCTCCACTTCAGAGCAATCAGCCCTTCTCAGTGCTTTTGTCCCTTGTTTTACAAGATATTGAATGTAGGCATCAGCATCAATGTCTCACTCCTATACCTCCAAGCCCCTGAGCTCCAGCTTTTTGGACCTATCATCCAATTTCAACCATACTGGAAGAGGAGCAGTCTCAGTCTGTGTATAAACACCATTAGATGAGCAGGGAAGGACTTGACAACTGTTACATTGTACAAATTACAGCATAAACTAAAAGCTATCAGCAGATCTGCCAGATAATAATTCTCACACCTGCTCTATCTTGAAGGTTTTTTTTCTGGTTTTGTTCTTCTTCCTTTGTAATTGGTTTTGTTTATGTTCACTCGGTTGCGCAGGCATGGCTTAAGCAGATTCAGAGCTATAGTTTCTGTTAACTGCAACTAATTTCCAGGTGAAGCTAAGTACATTTACTTTTCAAGTAATTACTTTGTAAGCCCGAGTTCACAGATACACAGTGACAAGAAGTACTTAGCTTTCCATTTCAGCCAATACGACTCAAGTTTGAAGAGGCAAAGTCTTTCTAATGGTGGTCACTGACTTGCATTAACCTCTTATCTCCTTCTGCATAATCCTTTTCTAGCACTTAAGTACATTCAGCTACAGCTCTGCAATGCATATGCAATGCACCCACTGATCATACCTCTTAGCTCACATCATGTATGGGTGAACTGCTAGGAAATAATGTACTTACTGAAGGGTGACAACATTTATTCCAGGAACAGGACGCTCAATCTCTAGATCTCGCCGACTAACAAATAGAAAAGGAGAGAACAAAGGCCCTTAACACATTGAAATTTTACAGATACTTCCATATTCTTCTAGTTTAGAGAAAGCAGACACTCACATATGTTAATTTAATCTGATAGTCTCCACAAATGATGGAGAACCACTGTTAGACTGATGTATCAATATCTTATTTCAGTCCTGGTGTACCATCCTTCTCCTCACAAAAGCAAAAGGTCATTCTCCCATTAAGCAAACCACCTGAGATCGCTAAAGGCACTGTCAAGAAGAACTTGATACTGGGGGATGACAAGTAACTCCACCACACAAGTAACGCTGGCTCCAAGAGCTGTATAGCCTCTAAAAACAGTTTCCAGTTAGAAATCAGATAAATATGTTTACCTGTTGTAAGAGTTGACAAAGAGATGAAGGTTGGTTTGGTTCATATCATTAATAATATGCTGGCGGTAAGTGTGGATCAGGTCATGGTTGCTGTGAATTTCTTCCTATAGTGGAGACAGAATGGTTCAAATAGGGCTATTTTCTGAAAGGATCTGAAGACACGGCACAGCAGTCATGTCAGACTCATATCTACACAACAGGAGTGCACTTTCAGGGAAGGGAAACTTCTAGCACCCAGTGGTGTCACCCAGAATTAAATACTAGTCTCTGATTGCAGCACCACATTTCTTGCTCTAGAACATCAGTACTTTGTATCATCAAAATCTTATGATTGCAAAACATGTAGTGGTGGTGCAGATGGTTACACTCAGACAAGTGTGAGGTTTTAAACAAAAAAGATTCAGGATAAGAAGCTCAATAAATGTTTCTAAGGTGAAGCAGATGTTGAAAGCTTACAAACGTGTAATGTGGAACTCTATTTCACAATAGTAAATAACTAAGCTTCAAGGACACCAGCCACTCACATTTTCAAACAGTTTGGTTCTAAAGTCTTTATAGATTAGTCTCTTGTGCTGCTGGAATGGAGTTTTCCATTGCATTTACTAACAGTTTCAAGTACAGCAAAATAGCCTCAGAAAACAGCACAGCACTTCCCATTAAAGCAGGCTTGCACTGACAAGCACTGTTAGTACTAATAACCACCTTTTCAAGAGTTACAATTATATTAAAGTATAAAAAAAATATAATCTGTGGGGTTATTCTCAGAACATGAGCACATACAATGCTTTATCATATTTAGGTGCTGGCTGGTGTGGAACAGGGAGCTGCCCCTACTAAAGCTGTCATGACTGAGACACACTTGGGACACAGCAAGCCTCTCGGCAGGATGCCACCTCCAAAACACTGGGAACACAAGTGTGAATCCTATCTCACAGTTTACCTTTGTAACCATGTTAAGAGAAAACTTCTCTCCTCCTCTTAGCCCCAAGAAGCAAATACAGATGACTGAACACATGAGAAGAATCTCTTGAACATCCTTACCTTCCCAAAAAGATGTGAAATGACCATGTCTGGTAAAGCATTTGTCCAACCTGAAATCTAAACAGGAAGATTATCTAAGCATCTGACATTCAAACAATCCTTCAACAACTGAAACCTTTCGATTGCCCATAAGTAGACCAATGGATGCTTCTCTGCTGTCCTTATAGTTACAATATCCTGGATTGATTTTCTTTTTCCCCCTTCAATCCAACTAAAACACCATCAGAGGTTGGTCGAGTCATTGTCTTTACTAATGCAGTTATATAGGGCACACGCTACTATATGGCACAGGTATAGCTGGAACACCAAGCAAACCAGCCAGATGGGTGGCATTTAACCTCACAGCCCTGTCTCCTCCCTAGCAACCCACAATGACAACACATTGGAGCTGATACCTAAAGCTCATGTCCCACAATGTGTGCTCTTTCTTTGGAAGGACAGGATACAGGGCACCCACTGTGCTCCTAAGGTCAACAATACTTGAGAGGTGGAAGGCAGAGGCATAGATAAAGAATTTAATGACAGTGAGACAGTGGGTGACATAATTAAAATAGGTCAGCTGCTACATCTTTAAATTCTCCACATTAAGATACTTCCAGATGAAACTCACCAAAACAAACTGGTATGCAAAATTATTTTCAGACAAGTGAGTAATTAATAAGCATTGAAAGAAGATCACAGTACAACTCTGGAAAGTTTCTCCTATTATTATAAGGCTGTCATTACATTTAGTATCACCCTAGACACTTACAACGTGACTAAGTCTGGTTAAAATACACACAATTTTTTTTACTTCTTGGTTCATAACAACGATCATTCACTTATACGTGACCCTGAACAACACAAAGTGCCTTCCACCAGGATCACACTGAAAAATATTTCAACACATTTAAATCTGAGTTACATGTAATTTTTACACTCATTTATATATGATACTTCCAGAAAAATTTTTGAAACCACTTGTCAGCAACTGTTTTCCCACATTGCAATCTTTCTTACAACTACAAAAAGAAGACAATCAACAGGAGCTTCTTTCACTTAATCTTGTGTGGACAATCTCTCCATAGTTACTGTAGCTAATGTCCTTTTCTGAGTCTTCTTTGGCATCTAAGACTCAGCTAAGTGACTGAAACCTGGAAGATGTTCTGAACATTCTTCTGTGCTCTAGTTTGCATTTTGGACTATTCTGGTAAACAAAGCCACAGACAAGAAAGAACTGAATGTTACACTACGTTTGAAGTTTACTTGAAAGTTGTTTCCAAAACTACCCCATGTCCAGGTTAAACTAGGTTTGAACCAGCAGTTACTAGCTCTTAAGAATTGTCCATACGTGGTAGCTCCACTATACCACAGGTATCGGTTTCCTCAAAGCAATTCTATGACTAGTCCTGCAGTAGGTACCTTTGTAAATGGAAGAATAAACCCCAACGGAATAAGCCAAGGATATTTTACACCTGCAGCCATGCCCTGACACACAAGCTAGTCCAGCTCCTCATGCTTGACAGGCTCACAGTATGATTTATTCTTCTAACTTAAAAATGTTTACCTTAGTTGCTGCCCAGTCCATCCAACCTTCAGCACAAGGGTTTACATTAATGAGAACTAATCCCTCCACCATCTCTGGATGGTTTAACTGCAAGAAAAAACATTTAAGATTCAGCACATATCCTTTGCAACTCGACAGTCAGCACAAAATTTAAATTAGCAAGTTATCAGATGGGGAGAAAGGCAGTAGGTCTGGTTTTATCTTGCACAAAACAAGCGTATGTATGGAAAAAAAAAATTATTAAAGCAGTTTAAGTGAGCAGCTGGAGAACATTAAGATTTATCTTCTTCTCCACCCTCAGTTTAAATAGAGAACTCCCATTAAAAAAACCTTCTGCAAATCAACTGGGTAGAGCCCAGGCCTTAAAATGGAAAAAACTAGGTCTTCTGGATTAGCTATCCTGCAGATTGTAGTATTGCACTTACAAGCTGAAACTGCTTACTTAGACGGGCAGAGCAGGAATTCTCTGCACACGCTACAGGGGTGAAAACGCCTCAGGGAATCAGGTCCAAGGCTTTAGGGAAACTCCACAAAACTTACAGCAAATCTGGTTAAGATGTAGGCACCGGCTCCAGTTCCCATTCCTATAATGGTCTTCAGCCTGCGCAGCAATTAAACGGAAGAGACAAATGAGTAAGAGGGCGCTGAAAATAAACCCACACCAGCAGCCTTCCTCTTTCACATGCCAGTGTGCAGCTACAGAAGGGTGGGCTGCAGCTCGGGCAAACTGGGGGCCTTCAGCAATGCTACTGGTCCCAGTCAAGATCTCAACATAGCAGCTGGTTTCCTTTCAGCAGATTTGCAGGACACTGGTCCTCACACATTGCAGGGCAGCAGCAACTCTCCCTTATCTTTAAGTAAATATACTGAGCAACCGTAGCATTTGTCCTGATCCTGAAAGGAAACGAGCAGTCTCTGCCAGAGAAACTTAAAAGATACAGTCTTGAAATCTGCTCAAATACAAAGCTTCCCCCTCCCCAGGCTCCCCCTGCTCTCCCCAGTACAAAGAGCCAACTGGGATACTGATTCCTCTCTAATAGAGGGCTGGCAGAAAAACCTCTCATGCTGTCCAGCCATTGGAGTGATGAAGTTTAAACTACATTACCAAACAGGGCAGAGACAAATCAAATATTTGCATTAATTGAAATTGGTTTTAAAGCATTGCCTTCAAGGTCTTAGAAAATACATGGAAGGGAAGACTAGACAAAACCACTCAGAAAAACAGGTTATACAATGCTTTTCGGAAAATACCCGAGGATAGTTTTCATTCTCATTAGCCATATTAAATTAAGGTTTTGTAAGTACAATGCAATTTAATTGATTTTCAAGGTACTGAAACTAGGTTAGCTTTTTTTTTTTGGTGCAAGAGCAGAATTGTCAACCTGTGCCTTACATTAGGTGTTTCAAAACACATCTTTTAAGAAGGCAGTGAGGTGAACTGGTCCAAGGCAGCATAACTGGTTACAACACCCAAACAATGTCTAAATTAGGGTGCTGGTCTAAGAATAAAATTCCTGTCAGCAGTCCAGCCTTCTCCAAGGTTGCTGCCAGGGTTTCTCTGCTTGGTCTGAAAAGCTCTCAGAGGTGTCTACCTGCACCAGGAGCACCAGCTCAGCAGAGAAGGGACCTTTCCCAGCTACAGCTCCTGCTAAAGCCAAGCACTAAGGGAGGACACACATCTGAACTTGTTGCAGGTAGACACCATAGGACCACTGCCACCAGGACTTTCAACATCAGCAACGTGGCACCTGCACTTGGTAGCCAAAGAGGCTCAAGGAGGTTGGAATGACTGCCCGAGACACTCAAACTACAGAAACAAAACAGTTAAGTGTCTTCAGATGGGACCACATTTTTTTCTTCTGCTAACCACACAGGAAAACGTGGCTTGTCACAGTGCAAAGAACAGATTGTCTGTGCCCTGCCCCTGCAAGGGTGACACGTAGAAAATACTGGAGGAAGCTCCTAAATTACGCACAAGGGATTTCACTCAAAGCTCCTTCCTGTTCAAAAGTAAACAGACATTTCAAAAAAGGCCAAAAAATAAACCCTAATAGAGGAGTTAAAAGCTAACTGCAACCATAATTCTAGCAAACAAAATGCCAGGTAGCCAGATCAAAGCTTCAGGGGCACCACAGTCAAATATCTGCTCTGCTCTTTTGGTGTGCCATGTAGATACAGGAATGAAGAAAGTAGGCAAACAACTCTGCACTCACCCAAACTGTTTCAGGATTCCAGGAAGCATTTCAGCCAGCTGATCCATGGAGGGATACACATATCTACAACAAATACATGTTTGTGGAGTTAATACTTGCAGTAGAGTAGGCTGGGATATTTAGAGACACAGCGGTCACTGTAGATTCAATATCAAATGTGCTCATTATGAGATCATTGACAGCATAACCTGAATTTAAATTAAAAGCAAGCACAAGTAATTTAACAGAAATACAAGCCTATCCAGTATTTTATATGAGTTACAGGATGGTAGACGTCTGATCTGGCTGATAGCAAAACAGACCACAACGAATCACTTCCAAGAAAAGTTAACACTTTTTCTAAGTTTTAAGTTCTGAACCTAAGAGGTGAGTTTTCAGCCAGATTCACCACATTTGTACTTCTGGTCCACCACAAAACACATTTTCCTGTGTTGCAGGACCACAACAGCAACAAGATCTAGATCTCCAGCAAATAATTTGCATGCATGTTTTCAGGAGCACACAAGTTTCCACAGCTATAAAATGAGGATAGCTTTTCTGTTAGTATTCATGGAGAAAATGAAGCCGTAGGAAGGGCTACAGAGCAGCTAAGGAAGTTCAGTAAAAACAGTTGACAGTTAATGTTCCTGGCGTTCTGCAGAGCAGAAAAAACAGAGCGAAGTAAATTCTAAATAAAATCTCAGCTGAGTAGCACATGAAAAAAATCCACCCAAAGTAGATGGAGAACATCTGCTTAGAATATATCCAAATCTCTGCTTCCCATGAGGGCTACACTTAATTCTTTAGTCACTAAAGTAAAACCAAATAAAAAAAGAAAATTCAAAACAAACCAAACAAAAAACACTGCAAAAATCAAAACTAAAAACAGTGCAGAACTATTTTGATTTATTTTCTTATATTTTCTTGTCAGGAAGCCAACCCTTGTCATGACAAAAGCTAGTGTCACCATAACAGCTACGAATTTTAACTTAACATGCTGGTCTCCCAGCTAGATGGTTAAGAGATAACACAGCTTCTCGTGCTGTCATCATGCCTTTATTAAGCAGTGGTCTTTGCTAGCCTGGACCATGATGGCTGCCCTATGCAGCTAACAGCTCAGAAGTGTTAATGCTTGTTCAGGACCTGAGGGTTAAGACTCTTAAAAGCTTGTGATTCAAACAAATGGAAAGGGGGGGTGGGCTGTGACTGAAATAGCTTTGCATGCTGCTCTGGTAGACAACTGGGCCATTGCAGTTAACACTAGCCAAGAACCTGGCCCATCGTGACCTCCTCAGCATCAGACCAGCTTAAAAATTAAGAAGGGAAATAGACTGGCTCATGCAATAAGGGCATATATAAGCTCCTTAATACATAGCTCTTACAGAACAACTGTTCCTTGCCTCATACGCTCCCCTCAGCATGTTGGCTGCTCCCTTCCTCAACCAAGCTGATTCCTATCGAAGGGGCACCTTAAGGCAAACCTGTCTCATTTGAGTTAAGTGGGACGAGCATTTTGGCAAAGGCAGTGCTCACGGCACACGAAGTTTCCAGGAGTTACAGCATCATAGGATAAGACAGTCAGGGGTATGCACTTTGTGGGGGTACATCACTTTGTTACTGTCCAACAATTAGGATTTTTCAGATAGGTGATCAAGTCTACTTAACATTTACCATGCTGCCACTTCACTAACAACATGGATTTAGGCATTAGCAACTATATAATGTCTTTCCTATCTCATTTATTGTAAAAATTTAGTTTTATATTTTTATTCAGGATATGTCACTCCAAAACACGTAACTCAACCTTAAATTGACAGATGTTGATGTCAGTCAAGGAACTTGTTTACAAGCAGTCTAGGTATCAGGCAAAATACAAAACTACAGCCTCAAAGTCTACTGCAAACTGGTACAACACAGCAGAGCTCTCAGAGCTCTGGTACCTTAGAAACAGACTGTCAGGATTTAAGTTCAAAAGTCAACTCCTGCGTTTGCTGCAAGTACCTTTTAATTAAAGCTCAGGTCATGACACTTTTTTGAGAAAGAGGATAACTCTGAAAGCATGGGCTGTTCCCCTGACAACTCACCCAGCTTGGAAGGACGGTGCTCCATCCTGCTGACCAGGGGCATCCACATGGCAGACTGCAAAGTGCTGGGTGATTTCCTGCATGTCCTCAAAGTTGAAGAGAGGATTGAAGCAGGTTTTATCTTGAGGAGGAAAAGAAAATATGGGATAATTATGCTGAGGCCAAATAGTAAGTGTGCAGCTATAATAAAGCCATTTAATAAATGGTCCTGCAAGTTAATGAAAATTCAATCAGGTGAGCTATGCTACAGCCTGGGAAACGCAGCAGCCCCTTATTTCTAGGGAAGAACAACTGGTAACGGGCTTCTACAAAGCAACCTGTGCCAACCTGCTTTAATTCCTTGAAGGAAAAAACCTGAACATGGCCAGCTAAGGTTTATATATGTGATTTAGTACCTGCCAGAAGTATTTGCTTGGTACACCAAAAATCTCAAAAAGTTATACTTAATGCAAAGTTAAAATGCTAATCAAACACAGCCAGGAGTATTCATCTTAGGTTTTGGCTAGATTAAGTTAGCCATTTACTTGTCCAGTCCTTTTTCTTTGAATTGTGTCAAAACAGATGAGGAAAAAGTATCCAAGGCTGAGATCATGATTTGTGCTTTTGGCCAAATTTCGAAGTATAAATATTACATGATCAGCTGCTGCAGGCAGCTCAAGACAAAAGCATCCTTCTGATATACTCAATGCTGTAGGATCCCAACTTTGAGGTAATTTTAATTCCGATATTTAAACAATATTAATCTGGGGAAAGGGTTAGTATATTTTCCTCCTGGAGCACAAAACATGATTTTTATAGCATATCTTTAAGATGCCTAGAAAACAGTTCAATGTTATGTGTATGCTTCTGAATGTCCTCACACTACAAGACACAAGCAAAAATCACTGCAGATGATAAAATCAGCTATAAGCAGCTTTAGGAGAATGTGCAAGTTTCCCCCTTTTAAAGGGAAGGAAAGTTTATTCACCGTAAAGATAACCTTTGTACCTCTAGAATGGAAAAAGTCTTATTCAGAGAATATTAGATTAAGCTCTGCCCTGATTCAATGAAAATCCAAAATAAATGCAGTTCTACAAAAAATAGGCAAGAAAATATTTTTTTCTTATAAGTTATATCCATCCACCTAGCAATAGCCAGACTTTAGAGATGTGCAGATGTTTTTAAAAGTAAATATTGTAACTGATTAAGAAATAGTAAATTATGTGAAGCAAACAGTATTGGTGAAAAGAACAAATTAGAGCAGATCTGGTATTAGGTCATTTTATTCTTGGATATGACAGATAATAAAAAAATTGAGTGCCTTTTATCTTATTTTCTTAATACTGTCTAAGGACACAATGCCAGCATTCATTTTGTCATCCTGATCTGATATGTAATTCATATAAACCCAGGGCAGCCTAAGAGTGGTTATCAAACAGGAACCTACGACAAAACACCAGCAACGCTGTTTTCCAACCCGCTGGCAACTGACCCTCAGCCACCCCCTACAGACGTTTTTACAGCATTTATACAGGGTCATTCTGAGCAATCCGAGATCTTTTGTGAAACACTCAAATTACTCACTTTGCAAGAAAAAAATCTGAGAATTAAACTTGTTAAAGAGAGGAACTGAGTACCATCTAACAGGTCACCATGCACATAAACAAGCGAGGACCCGGGAAAGGTTTCCGAACCATCACTGCCGCTTCCACACGTTTTATTACGGCAGTGGCACTAAGGAACCAGGCCATACCTGTGCTATTAAGTAAAAAGTCTACTTACGATTCAGTCCAATGTCATGGTAGGTGAGGATGGCTGGTCGGTTCCCTCTGGGAGTCCCACACATGGTGACATGGACCGAGCCATGGACAGTCTCCACATCTTGCTCCTGGCAATAAAGAGGAAGGGTCTGTTAGTGGCTCATTCAAGAGCTCCACTGAATGCCCAGTGCAACAGACCTCTGACAGACCACGAGCAGGGGTCCTGCCCTACCTCAGGGTCTTCCCATAGCCCCAGGGGTCTCCGCAATTCCCCCACTAACACACTCTGTTCTCCCCCACAGTGAGTTTCCCGTGATTTGGCTGGCACCTATTCCAGTCCACAGAAAACTACAGCAGTACTTGAGCTGCTAGCTCTAATCAGATGCTGAGTGAATAGTTAAATAGTTTTTAACCTCATTAAAAGGCATTAAAAGAAAATAATAACAGAAAAAGCAGGTCTGTGCAATGATGTCTTAAATAACAGCTTACAACTATGACTGGCGGCATTTGCAAAAGTGCAAGTTGCCAAAAGAAAATACCTCTTTTTTTTTTAACCTAGGAAAAAGGCTTTAACTCAGCAAATAACCACCATTCCCCAAAGAAAGTAGTATTAAGTAGCCTGTATTCACTGTAAAGATTTACCACGCTGTGAAGCTCTGTGTTTATAACAGCCTTCCCCAATAAACACGACAGATGCGCATGTTAGCTTTATGACTTGCTATGTGTAGACCTGAGCATAAACTCCAACTGTCTAAAGCTGGCTATAGAGCACCACATCCACAACACAGTTGCAGTTATTATCAGAGAAACAATATTAAGTAGTATACTTCCACTATTTGACATAACAGGAGTTTGTACTATTTTATGACCTTCAAGCTAAGGACACCATTATCAAAACAAAGTCCCCCAGTACTATCTTTTATTTCTTGGGTGTCTACATAAACTAGGTGTGACCTGAGTTGCACTAACCTCCACTACATATGGTACAGTTTTTTCTTTTGCACTTGAAATTCAGATGACTACAAACAGTTTATTATTTTGCCAACATGTATAAACAGGATCAGAAAACAACAGTTACTTATGACACTTACTTACAATACCATTGCACTTACATAACAGTCAACTACTACATAGTTAGTAGCCAGTATTAGCATTTCACCAGAATACTTTATTTACTGTCCAGCACACAGATATTCATGTCATTCAGTACAGCATAACGCCTGCTGTTGCAGGGCTTGCTTGACTTGCTCGATGCAGTAACAACCAGAGGCAAAATCCAAGTTAAATTCAAATCTATTAAATATCATGCTGTAGAAATCAGGACCACATAGCCTCTTCAAAAACCTTTACAGAGTAAAATCCAGCAGTTCTTCAGAGATCTGATGCGGTAACTTGATCTAAATCTCAGCTCCTTGATTTGATTCATGGAATACACCACACATTTTGTTGAAAAAAAAGAATGCTAGGCAATACCATTCCATATTTCACCTATTTTCCTTGAACTTACACCTTTACATCTGTTTTAAGTTACAGTCACAGCAATGAATCAAGATCCACCACCCCCTTGTACACCGGGCGAGTAGAGCATTGTTGCTATCTCAGCTATCCTCCACTGAAACACTAATTTGCAGCTTTCATGTCTCCTTAGAGATTCATTCCTCTGCATACTCACTGCATTATTTAGCAGGTAAGCTGTATCTTCCATATCCAACACCATCTTTAGGCAAAACAGGGTGATAAATCCAGCAAGTCAGACAGAAGACTGTAGCTGGTTTCTACTCTATCCAAGGAGGAAACTGGGTTACATAGACAAGCTGTACCCTGCATAGGCTTATGACTCCCATAATGCCCAGCTAGAAAAAAAACAAAACAGACTAATTCATGAGGATGTCATTCTTAAATAGGATTTGACTCAGGTTTGACCAGAAGTACATACTTAACAGAGCTCAGACATAAAAAATTGTACTAAGTTTTTGCCACATAATGTACAAAGTGTCATATTTCCAACCTGGAAATTAGTACAGTCTTTTCTATTGCTGTTTCCATCATGTTTTGCTAAGTTTAACTTCCTTTCAGATTTTTATGACTCAAAGGCTAGAATGCCCCAAACTTACTCTAAATCAAACCAGAAGTGAGTTCTTTCCTAAAAGCCAGAGTTAAAGTTTCTGGTAAGAACACAAAAAAATTTTAAAAATCAGCATAAAACAGAATCATTTCGCACAACAAAAATGAAGACTTTAAAGTGCCTGAGAACTAGTATTTCCTAAAGTAGCTAAGTAACATTTGGTATGAATTATTCCTACATCAGCCATACTACTGTCACTGTAAATATCATTTTTGACACAAAATAGAGTATTGTAGGTATATTCATTATACAATACTCCAGAAGAGATTTGCATTAACAAGGTATAGCAACTGATAATACCAATTAATAATAACAGCAATTAATATTTTCCACATTCTACCTTCCTTCTGTACTTTGATAATTTCAATAAAAGCATAAATATCAATAGCTTGGCAACATTAACACCAATAACAAGAGTAAGCAACATTGTGTAACACATCACCTGCTCAGTGCAGAATACAGAAATTATTTCCTCCTCAGAGACTAAGAAGCATTTCATATCATCACATTTTTATTACTAGATTCTTCCAGTAACATCACTTAAAATATAGAATGCATTTTCTTCAGAAGTATCACTTTTCAAGGTTTGGGATCTTCCTCCCTTGTGCATGAAAGAAAAATTAAAAATGTTCCTAACAGATAAAGCCAGAACCTTGAACCTGCAACATCCCCTTGACCTCCACAGGTAATTCTTATGGAAGTGGAAGCCTGAGTCTAGTTCAAACTCAGTGTCAACTAAAAATAGTTCAGAGACGACATGCAACCATACTCATAATTACTGGCATAAATCACAGTCAGTTTAACAATTGGTTTAATTCCTCATTATCTTCACAGTAAGACTTCCCTAACTCAAGAGGGTTGTGCCGTTTTCCATTAGTGCAAATTCTTAATGGCAAATTCCAAAAGGTTCTCCTGAAAAACAATCATTTCAAAGCAGTTTCTTCTGTGACAGCAAATCAACAACTTCACATCCCTATAGATCCTATTAAAGATCAAGAGATTTGTCTACGTGATGTAGGGATGGATGTTTTCAAAACGCAGAGTACTAAAAACAGATGGCAGCACATCCCAATCAACATTGACATTATAGTAAGAGGCTCTTCACCAACCGATTTGTATTAAAACACTATCTTGGAAAAAAAAATCCAAGGTACACTAATCCGATAGAAGGATAAAGACAGACACACCATCTGTTCACATCTCTCACTTTAACAGAGGTGCAGCCTTATCTTAGTGCCCTAAAAAACACACACAAAAATACTTTCGATACATGCAATTTAAGAGAGGCTATCTTAGTTTGAAGGAGCTGATCCACTCCAAAGTAGATTTTATTTTTTGGGTCAAGCGACTTTCTGATGTTTTGTCTTGAAGTTAGAAGGGGGAGCCAATTTGTCAGTCAGTAATGTAGGAGAGCTCATTTATCCCCGCCCCTCTTTACCCTGGCTAAGGAAGATGTGGATTATGGATCAAGTTGCTTTCTGAAGTACTGGATATGTAGCCAAAATGCTTTAGACATCTGAAGAAGAAAACCACATACGTACATTGCACATTTTGCTAAAAATGTCATACTTTATATTTTCACTAAAATACAGCATTCCATCAAGATTAAAGCTTTCAAATACACTGTCTCCTGGCAATTTAAAAGAGATGTAAATCCTCTTTAAAAGCTCTGAAGCTTTTCCCTTAGTGCTGAGGCAAGAGAAGGGAGGTGTACATAGCAGACATAATACTATAAATTAAAATAAAAGCATGAGATGATAATTGAGGATTAAGTGTATTTCAAGTTCATCTTTCTTAAGTAATTTAACATACTAATACCTGCACATGTTATTTTTCACTTTTTTCAATATCTTTCAGATTAAAAACATTTGAGCTTTTAATGTGGTATTGCAAAGCTGGTTTTCAAATCCCCTTTGCCCTGAAATTATTTAGTATTTTTTCCCCTTAGCTTCTACTCTGAAATAATTATTTCAATTCACATTATGTTTTACTAAAACTCAAATGCTCATCTTTCCTAGCTTGTTAATATTTTTTTTTTCAAGGAATCAAGCTGTGAGTTGGGTACATTATAGGTCTGAAGTCATGATTTACTTAAGTGTAAAGTAGAAGTCAGTAACAAAACCTTTGGTGCAAGAACTAAAGCAGATTATTGCAATAGCACTGCCCAGGGATTCTTCCTAGTCCAATTAGCACTGGGTCACACTGCTCTGCAAAAGTATAAACCCACAGCCACCCCCATCCCTTTTAGCGATCAAAAAGGATGAGGAAATCCGTGTAACACGCTGCAACACACCAAACTGCCTCCATGGATGCCCGTGGGAAACCCACCTCATCGCACCACAAGGACCAGCCCATTTGTCTCCTGTTGCAAACTGGCTCTTTGCTTCTCCTCTCACAGGAGGGAAAGTAGAAATCACTCTTGCGTGCTGGTGGGTACAGATGGCCATGAGCCACGAATTGCAACGGACAAACTCATCTCTGCCACCTACAGCTGCTGCACGGCTCGCAAAGTTTTGCTTGTTTACTGAGAAAGCAAGTCTGCTGGGGACCGTTCCCTTCTGAAACTCAAAGCTGAGAGATTACACGCAGGGACAAGGAGCCAGACCTCCATCAGCTCCAATGCTACCAAGCTAGGGAATAGGTGAGTACAAACTGGAAAAATACAATTACAATGTGTTTGGCATTAAGGCAACAGAAAGCAGCACAGGGCACTCTGCCCTACACCCATTCATCATTAATTGTGCTAAAACAGATTTAGTCAAGAACACTCGCCTTCTTGGGAGTCAGGGGACTTTCACTTAAATTTTCATCTGGGTGCCACAGACAGGCATACAGACAGATATATAGTGCTGACTAGAGGTGGTTCAGAGCTGTCAGTTCTGCTCCTGGTCATCCCCTGGTAACTTCATGAAAACTCTTCCTCCAGAGAAAAAATACATACATGTCTTGCAATATGTGCTTTCAGAAAGACGATACTGCACTACACAGTTACTTCAAAAATGGAAAAGTACATTTAACTCAAGTCTGTTCAAAATAGCAGTGAAAAAAAGCTCTATTTCTTTCCAAACCTGAATAGCTAGGTGAAACTTATTCTTTGAACCAAACCACCTCATAGGCAGTCACTACTTTTCACTAGCGGCAGAAACAAGTTATTAACTGAACACTGCGTAACTTGTCCCCGAAAGGACAGAGCAAGCTGAAAGTGCTATGATGAACATCCACAGCGATACACAGTCGCTAAATAAGAAGCTCCATCCTAAGCACTGATCACAGAATCACAGAATTGTTGAGGCTGGCAAAGACCTTCGAGATCCTCAAGTCCAGCCTCTGACCGAACACCACCACAATGGCCAGACCACGGCACTAAGTGCCACCTCCTTGTCTGACCACATCCATCCTTCCAGGTATGTCTCAGTAGACAGGTTGCTTATTAAGAGCACACAGGAGCCTGTGTCAGTCCTGAGTGATGTGGGTCCTCCAGGGCCACACATGAACATCTCTAATGAACTAAAGCAATCAAGTCTCTCTTACAAAAGACGTGGTTTGAAGCTGTTAAATCAACCACAGAAAAACTCAGACACATAGGTAGGGTGTCTGTGGTTTTAAGAACCAAAGCTCAGTCTCCACTGTAGCAGCAGTTCTTAACATAATGGATTGAGACCATTCTTCCACATTTTTCCTTCCTGAACTAGAACAGCCAAAGATTAAACTCTAACAAAGAAATACAGAGCTGGCAGAACAGAGCTAGATGACAAGAACCACTGCTCTGGATTAGCAACAGTTAATCCAAAACAGGGAAAGAAAAAAAACCCCAAAACTACAAACAAAAAGGCTTAGAGAATTTGATCTCGCAAGCCAAAAAAAAATAAAGCTATATATACACATGGTTTACAAACCAAGCAAATTTATCCAAGAATAGAAATAAAATATGGGTCACTTCTAGATTCTTAATCAAAATACTGCAGTATTCGTGTTAGCAGATTTAATCTGGGATTCAGATTTATTTAGACCAAGTGACCAATCTGGACACAAACAGAAAGCTTCCCCCATGCTGTGCACAGTCCTGCAGGAAGTTGCATCGTGATAATTTTAACTTACAATTATCAAGACTTCAGGCAGTGGATTTCATCATTGGAAAGGACAAGGAGGAAGATGCAGGATTACTGTAAATTACAGTTTTGCTATACAAGTGAGAACCACTGGAAGACAGTCAAAATGTTTAACTGCTTCCCTTGGTTTCCAGGGAAAAGACTGATGAGTTTGTGCTGGATTTTTCACCGCTCACTTTTTTTCAAGGCAGGTTCAAGCTCCCTTGTCTCCCCCTCAGTTCAACACAGCCTGACTCTGACAGCCATGCATTTCCTTAACCTCAAGCTTAAGAACAAGCAAAGCCCAAGAACCCCAAATAGTGATAAAATATACAAAAAAGGAGCTGCAAGAGTTACAATATCACCTCTCAAAAGTACACCACACATAGAAATTGGAAAGCCACCACTGGTCCAAGTGGTGTGCTTTATGAACTCTTACTTTCCAGCTGTACATAAACATATGCAAACTCCTGTCACTCTTGTTATAGGTAAAATTGATTTCTATGTGCCTTCCACCACTCCACAGGTTTCAGGAATCATTTGGAAACTTTCAATGGCATAAAAGGATACAAGAGCAACATTTCCTCCAAGGAAAATGGCACACGGCTAATGAAAACAAATTAATTGGGGAAAGTGTGTGTCTATGTCAGAGGGAAATATTTTGCTTGCACTGTCACTGCTGCAGAATCTCGTTCTCTTAACAAGAATACAGCCTCCTGCAACTCAGTCACCTCTTTGGGATAAAATGTACTAAACAAAGACCTCCTGCAGTCCCCTTCGCACCACTACATCAGAGCCCCATTCAGACCCCTCTCTCACAGTAACAGTATTTCTGGCAAAGAGTCATTTCTCATCACAGTTTGCTCTTTTCTCAACTGTCAACTCAGTTTCCTCTTTTACCAAAAAATAACAAAAAAAAAAAAAGCTTTACTTGCCTGAACATCGAAGTCTGGAAGAAGGCGAGTGATAGCCTGTAAAGAGATTTTAAAGTATTAATGCAGGCAATGTTTGCAGCTATAGAAATCTGCACTGGAACACGTGTGTTCTAACACACCGATTCTGCAGTAGAGAGCCCTGTCCCATCCCTTCATCCAGCAGGAGCTCTCTTGCTAAAGGTCAAAATTACACAAGAGCTTTTACCCACCAATCTTACAAACAAAACAAAAGCAATACAGTACTGGATTATAGACCAGCAAAACAAAACACAAGATCTGGTGCACTTTCAAAAACACTGGACTTTTCTACATTGCTTATTGTATCGATGGGATGACCAACAGCCCACTTTGGTCCTGCCTAGAATGGAAAGCCATTCTTCAAGCATGCACTCAGGACTCGCAAATCATCAATCATTACTGGATTCTGGTCACAGGATGTGGAAGGTGGGAAGGGTTTTATCCTAGCCAGAATTAGGCCTTGTTACGCTTGGGAGGCTGGCTGGACAAAGAAGTCCATTCCAACCTGTCATCAGCCACTGCTACTACTGACAAACTCCTACACCTCTCAAGGATTCCCACTAAAAACAGGAGTTAGGTGACATCCTCCCCATTTCCAATAGTCTAAGAGGCTTAGAACTTCAAAGGAAGAAGTGTCTTACAGTGACCTCCCCTTTATTAAAAGACAAGGAAGAAGTCAAATTTGTATTTCTACCAGCAGGCTGAAAACAGAGAGCAGGGCAGCTGAACTAACATCTTCTATGCTGCAAAGTACAACAGAGAAGCCAAAGCTTGAAAAAAAATAGAGATAAAAAACAAAGCTTAGAATCCTGGCAAAGAGGTCACTCAGTCCCAGAAGCCCAGGTAAATTAAGGATGGAAAAGGTCAGAAGCAATGTACCTGTTGTCTTAGGCAATATTGTCTCAGATGGTGGACCTCAAAGCACTGTAGCCCAATTCATAATTATGATAGGACTCTAGAGTCATGATCTTTCGGTAATTAGGCAGCCTTGTACATACAATCAAATAGTTAGAGAGCCGAATGAGCTTAGGAAAGTCATTTTACACAGCCTTAGCTTTAGACAATATGCTGGGGGTTAAGCTTACTATACAGCTGGTCTTATCACCTTTTAAACATAGCTCAGTTCACACACTGTCATTCCAGTGGGGCTAGAGTTGAAAGAAATAATATGTTAAACTGTATCAACAACATGCAAAATAAGGCTCATCACTGTTCAGGAAGGAAGGCTCAGCTGCAGAAGAAACCAGGATGCAACTCCAGAGTGCACCACCTACTCAACACCAGCTCCACTGTTAACCTCGGTATGTGCCAAGTGTCTTCCAGGGACATCTATTCCACTTTCGCAAAATACATTAAGTAACTTCATGTCTGTTAAGAATGTCCACCAAGTAATTTGTGTTAAGGATGACTGCTAGTTTCCTCATGCAGACAAAACTTAAAGTAACATTGTGACTAAAAGCAAATAGGGTTCAAGATTCCAACTTTTAATCTACATGCCACAGAAATCCAGGAAGTTAATCAGCATTTTAAGATATTTTTGAACTTTGAAGCAAAGGCGTTTTGGTACTCATAGAACTTCTGCTTAGTATCTTCTCTGCTTTGAAACTATTGAACAAGATTGGCATTAAAAAGGGATCTTAGTCTCTGAAGAGTTTGAGTGCTGCATTCAATAGTATCCAAAGAAGCTCTGCTTTCACGCAATGTCCTTAGCAAAGGAGCTATGTTTAAAGTTTCTCTAGCCATTTCACTGTAGTCACAAGTGGGAAAGATTTTCTTAAGTGTTTATGCAAAAGAGCTAGAGAATTTTAAAAAATTAGCAGATAGAGCAGTGAATAGTTCTGATGAAGAAAATAAGAAAAAAACCCACACCACTACATTTATATACATCATTGTCAAGAATTACAATAACTGGAAAAAACAGAAAAATCTTAGTTTTGATTAAAGAAAAAAAGCTGAGAAGTTGCTTCACATATTACAGTTAATTATTTGCCATGAACATACAAAAGCACAAAGTATTGCTACCAAAGAGTCAGCCAGCCAGGGAACCCAGATGCTGTGAGAAGTTTTACGAAGAAAATAGTGCAAAAGAAAAAGAAAATAAGTACAACAGAGTATAAAAAAAAAAAAAGCTAGGATGTTTCTACACTGCAATGCGAGAGGAAAGGCTGTGGCTGGTGCACACCCAGCCAGCTGCAGAGCTGGGAGCAGTTTGGCTGTAACTGAGCCCAGTGCAGTGACAGAGGGCAGGATGGAGCACAGTCAAAGCTCCAGACTCGAATGTGCCCAAAGGAAAAGTAAAGGCTCTCTCTGTGCCTCCTTAAAAAGTAGCTGATGGAGCAACAGTTGTATCTTTACACTGAGAAGTATATAGGTATAGATGGATGTACAGGAGATTGCCCAATTTGGCATTATGCAAAATAGCTAAAGACACTCAGAGCTGTCACTGTTCAGAAAAGAAAAAAAAGTCATCACCATGTTAGAACTAGAGAAGAGTAAAACCAAGGACCAAGAAAGAGCAAACAATTAAGGCTGAGTTTTGTATTATTTTTAAATTATTTTTATATTTCCAGTTCCTCTTACTGATCTAAGAACAAATGGGCAGTTCCAACAGCAACTCTAAAATAAAACACACAAGCTCTATAAATCTTGAAAACACTTACCTCCTCCTTCTCCACCAGAGGTTTCACCTCTGCAAGGTGAGCATCCTGGAACTCTGACATGGTCAGTAGCTGATATCTGCAAAGACGAAAAAAAACGATTTGTTCTCAGCTTGCATCAAAGATTACATACAGGAACAAGTAAAGATCCTGCTCCACCCGACACCCGCCTTTCCCCCTCCCACCAATGACCCACTGCTTCTGATTATAGTTTAAAAGAACTCTGCAAGAAGGTCAAGAATCTCTTGTAAAATGCCTCCCTGGTTTATTTATAGACACAATCCTGCACAATACTACATTAAAAGAAATATTAAGGTTGTAAGATCAAACAAAAGTTTGGCAGCTTCAAAACGAGGGATGCTGAAGGAAACAGGGCAGGGACCAGTACACAGAGAGTCATGGAAACTGCCAGGAGGAGGAGACATAACCAAATCTGCACAGCCACTTCTGAAATTAGCTTGGATACTTGTCTCTGGATTACTTTTTTCTTTCGATGCAGGCTTCCTCTCCATCACCAGAACTTTAAGAAAACTGAACTGGACGCTCATTAGCATCATTCTACTCTCAGATCGATAGGTTATATTCTCTGGTACAGAAATACTTTCCTTTATCTGAACAAACAGACAGCACCACATAAAACACAAACGCATGCAATTAATGATACTCTTAGAACCGTCAAAGCAAGGAACAAGACTGCTGTACGCTGCTCCAAGAAAGGATTGGCATCACGATGCCCAGCCCTCATCCGCGGGAAGCTGACCTAGGACCATGAGTACAGCCAAACCCCAGAAGGGCTGACGCCAAGGCAGGTGGAACAGCAGGTTGTGCTGGAGGTGCCAGGCACCTTTTGCATCTGGACCAATGAGCATCTCACTTCAGTGACCATATCAGTCCAAACTCAGAGTCAAAACGAAGAATGACATGTTTCCATCCTGTTCACAAGGACAGGGTGCCAGAGGCAGAGGGCTGTTCCCTGCCAAACTCTGATGAATAGCCAGAAGCAACTCTCAAAAGAGATATCAGAATGGTTCTAGCAGCAAGATGACAAATACTAAAGTCAAAGTATGTTTGTTATATCCTCTGGCCTGCTAGAGAAATGCATATCATGTGGGCTTGGGGCATCTTTGCAGAAAATTGGAAATTTATTAATTAGTCAAGTATAAAACAAATCAATTACCTACTTTTTCAGAAAAGTTTAGAACTGTCCCAAGAGAAGCATATGAGTAAGCGTACTCAAAGCAAGCCAAAAGGCTTAAACAAGTTTAATTATTAACAGTTTTCCTAAGGACAAGCATAAAACTACAGAACAAAATTTATATCGATTCTTTAAGCCATGATTTCCCACTTCCTGACTTAAATCTGATTTAAGCCAATCAACCTTGTCTACATAAATGCCCTAGTGCTCAGCTAGGGCATATCGAGAATATCGAGAGCCAGCAGCAGCGGCAGCAGCAGCATTTTTTCTCTGCCCCATGGGTCAACTCGATGCACTTTTCCCTGGGCAAAAACACTTTAGTAAGAAAACACGCAAAATGTCTGGATGCTGCAGAAGGCTACAAAGTAGCACAAACGGATTAAGGAAGTTGATGCTGAAAATCCACACACATGCAAACAGCTTCAGATTTTAGGAACCCTTCTCACTAGCTATGCAAGTGAGTGTATTTTTGGTAAAGAATTAGACTGAGGACTCTAAACTTGGAGAAATGGTTCTTGAATATTTAACCCCACCATCTGAAGTGTGAGAACAGGAACAAAACTGACCCCGTTGCCAGTAATTTGTAATCCAAATTTACAATGAGGTACCCAAGACACTTAGGTAAGTCAAGAAAGAGTTAGTTCCCTGGCAGCAACTCTGATTCACCCCTTTTCTCCAGTTTTTGCAGTAAGTTACAGATGTCAATCAGAACAAACAAGAAAACAAGTTTGCCACGATTTCAAGCAATTGCAAGTGACATTTTAGAAGCACATTACATATTTTTGTAACTATGGCCATCTGTGTAATCTGCCATTCTATACAGCAAACAGTTGTGCATGGCAGAGAGGCAAATAAATGCTGCTCTAATACCCGGAAGTCAAAATACTTATGTGCAACCACAGGTAACTCAGATGGCTTTTTTTCAGCAAATTCTTTTAAGACAGAAGTAATATATTAACGTTGCACCTAATTCTGCAGTAGGCACTAGAAGCGCAAAAGATTTTTCCATGTTTTGCCTGTATTCCCTGACGTTTTCCAGCAAGAAGAAGCTTGGGGAACACAGCCACGGCTACTGTTTGCGGAAGAAAGTTGTTTACATGGGATAGTTTCAGACTTTCAGGGACTCAAAGCATTGACTACAAATGACCAGAAAAAACAACTGTGCCAAAGAGAACAAAATGGATGCCTTTTATAGACTTAAAAAACAATCCTGTTTTCATATAGTTCAAAGTTGTTGCTCTATGTTTCTGAAAGAACCAGCTCTAGCAAGTGCTGACCAGCAGATTACACACTTGCCATAAAGGCTGCTGAACAAAAGCCCAACACGTATCCAGTCCTCACGTTTGCAAAGATACCAGATCTTGGAGCCACATCATGCTTTCAGAACATGATTTCCAAGCTCTGGTTTCTCCCTCTCTGCATCAGGAATACCTGAAACGTTCCTACCAAGAAACAACCTTGTGATAAGGCAGCACAACATGCTGTTTGTTCACGAGGGCTGGCAAACAAAGCCCCGCTATCTGGCAGCACTGTAAAAAACATCTTTTTTTCCAAAGAGAAACATGCTAGGGAAGTGGTTTTGTACCATCCATGCTCAGCAGAAATTTTACAATCTCTAAAGAGGTGCTTTGTGCTCCCCTCTTACACAACAGGGCTTGTCACTAATGCAACTGCGTAACTCTCCTGCACAGATAACCATACAAGCATTCCTTTATACACATTCCAAAGCACTTTGCCTCACAGAAGTCTTCAAAAGACAAAGTTCATTTATATCTGCAAGCAGTAGTGTAAAGTTGCCAACTTGGAGAAAGAACAACTTTTTTTCACTGTGCTTGGCCAATTTAGCCTGCTAAGCAGTCCTGCTTTCTCCTTTCTAAGACAAGCCATCTCCACTCCCTGGAAACTCATCATCCTGCTCCCAGATATCAGCTACAAATGCTGCTCAAAGGATTAAGTTTTAAAACAATCATACCTTGAAATAAGAAAAAAAAATTAAGGTACTTTTGCAGCTCGCAAAGTGCTTTAAAACTGATCAAATATCTACTCTTGCCAACCAGCTGGAAAGATATCAAACCAGCTTCTAGGAAGGAAAGGGAGTGTGGGGAAGGGCAAAGTCATGGCATCATAGAATGCTTTAGGTTGGAAGGGATCTTTAAAGGCCATCTAGGCCAGTCCCCCTGCAGTGAACAGGGACATCTTCAACGAAATCATAGTGCTCAATGCCCTATCCAATCTGACCTTGAATGCTTCCAGGGAGAGAGCTTCTAGTAACTCACTGGGCAACCTGTTTCAGTGTTTCACCATCTTCTTGGCAAAAAAAAACTTTATTCCTTATATCAAGTCTAAATGTAACCCATCCCACACCCTTTTGTTTAAAAACAGTATAAAAAAAAAATAGTCCTCATATTTCCTGTGGGCCCACTTTAAGAACTGAAAGCGCTTCCCAGAGCCTTCTCTTCTCCAGGCTCAACAACTCCAGCCTCTCAGCCTGTCCTCACAGGGAAGGTGTTCCATCCCACTGCTCGTTTTTGTGGCCTTCTCTGGACCTGCTCCAACAGGTCCATGTTTCATGTGCTGAGGATTCCAGAGCTGAATGCAGTACTGCAGGTGGGGTCTCACAAGAGCAGAGGGGCAGAATCACCTCCCTTGACTTGCTGTCCAGGATATGATTATCTTTCTGAGCCAAGAGCACACGCTGCCAGCTCCATGTCCAGCTTCTCATACACCAGCACTCTCAAGTCCTTCTCCACAGGGCTGCCAGAATAGATACAGGTGGGTTACTCAGACCCAGGTGGAGGACCTTGCAATTAGCCTTTTTGAACCTCATGAGGTTGACACAGACCCACTTCTCCAGCTTGTCCAGGTCCTCCTAGATGTCATCCTGTCCCTCAGGTGTGTCAACTGAACCACGCACCTTCCGGCCCAAACTATTCTGTGACTCCATGATTCTCTGATCTTCCCAGACACAGAGGTGAGGCTGACAGACCACTAATTCCCAGGGTCCTCCTTTCTACCCTTTTTACAAATGAGTGCAACATTTCCCTTTCTCCAGTCATCAGGGACTTCATCTGACTGCTATGACCTTTCAAATATCATGGACAGTGGCTCAGCAACTACATCAGCCAATTCCCTGAGGGCTCTGGGATGCATCTCACCAATGTCATCTGTGCAACACTGTGTTCACTAATTTCATTCAAAGAGGCTTTTCTGTACCTATTCCAGCCCAAATCCAGTGCTCCAAAACCACCAGAGCAAATGTTAGAACCAAGCCTAGTAAACTTAGGAATCATTTACTGAGCCTGTATGTTTTATTCTTAAATAGATCCCCTGGCCCTCTGTATCATCACTGGAGGGACAGGCATTGCTGGAGCCTTGTTTTGGTAGCAGAGTGTACAGGATGGGATATGTGGCCTGGCTTTGCACAACAGGGATCCTGACAACAGAGCTAAAAAGCTACACATCAGGCCATTAAGACACTAGCAATGTTGCAAACATAAGTACCAAATGTTAGATAATCTCAATACATGTGACCAAATTCATTCCAAGCACAGAAGTAAAACAAAAGATCCTTCATTCCAGGCTATATTCTTCTGAAGACACACGTGATTGTCCAAGTTTGTGCCACAGGGTGCATCACCAAGCGTGACAGTCTCACATCCATGAAGTGCTGGGGGAACTGCTAGCAGTACTTCAGGATTTACCTCTGGCCCTACTTGGTATCATAGAAAACAAAGAACAGGAAAAGACTCCTGCCTGAGAATTTCATAAAGAACACTTATTTCCTCAAAACAACTTGTTTAAACACTGGCAGAGATTATTCTCCTTTTGAGTACTGATAGCCAGAGGCAGTCTGACAGTGTTTCCATCTTTTCAGGCTGAGCA